ACCCTCCAGTAACAAAACTTTCATAAAACCATAGTGACTGATGTGAATTCTTTATCATTTGCATCCTGTCTCAGCTTCTGCAGTATTTGGCTCAGGATGACTGTTACTGCTACCTGATGTATAGTAACCCAGTTCATTCCCTAGATAATGGATGATTGATCACAAATTTGTCACATTTGGATTCTTCTGGGCTTTCCATGCTATTCCAAGATTTAATTTCTTTCCAGTAAGGCAGGTCTGTCTGTCTGTCTGCCTCAGGAGCATGCGGTGCCAGTAAAGTATGCAATGCTGGAACTAATAAAGTGGAGCTGTTTTCACAATTTGTTTACCCTCCAAGGAAAAAGAACTAAAAAAAAAAAAAAAATCTGAAGAGAGAAGTTTGCCTATGGACTGTTTATTCTATCAAACATAGCTTTCATGTTAATTGTTTCACTACTTTACAGTGATTTTGTCAAAGTAACTGGTACTTAGAGACAATGAGAAACCATGCCCTGAAATTAATCTGACATCAAAGGCGGCGGCATAACTTCTGAAGAAAACCGGTAGGTTTACCAGTTAATTTCTTTGCCTGCCACACTGACGTCCCTCTAAAGACTTCAAAACACTTAAACAATATGCTGTGCTCCATAACACAGCAATAACTTCCTGGGAAAGTGAGAAGGGGTTGTGTCCTTTCCATCAGCAACTGGTTATAGATCATAGAATCACAGAAGGGTTTGGGTTGGAAGGGACCTTAAAGATCATCCAGTTCCACCCCCCCTGCCATGGGCAGGGACCCCCTCCACTAGACCAGGTTGCTCAAAGCCACATCCAGCCTGGCCTTGACCACTTCCAGGGATGGGGCATCCACAGCTTCTCTGGGCAACCTGTGCCAGTGCCTCACCACCCTCTCTGTGAAGAACTTCTTCCCGGTATCTAATCTAAACCTCCCCACTTTCAATTTAAATCCATTCCCCCTTGTCCTGTCACTACAGGCCCTTGTACAAAGCCCCCCCCCCAGCTTCCTTGTTGCCCCTTCAGGTACTGGAAGGCTGCCATAAGGTCCCCCGGAGCCTTCTCTTCTCCAGGCTGAACAAGCCCAACTCTCTCAGCCTGTCCCCATAGCAGAGGTGCTCCAGCCCTCTGAGCACCTTCGTGGCCTCCTCTGGACTCGCTCCAACTGGTCAAGATCCTTCTTATGCTGAGGGCTCCACAGCTGGACGCAGTACTCCAGGTGGGGTCTCACCAGAGCAGAGTACAGGGGCAGAATCACCTCCCTCGACCTGCTGGCCACACTTCTGATAAAGCCCAGAACACGGTTGCAGGAGCTGTTCCTACATCTTCAGCAGGGTAATACCCGATGGCTTTTCACGTTGGAAACTTCAGTGTGCCAGGAAGGCAGGTACGACTTAAAGTGGATGATACATGAACTGATCTGCACCAGAGCATCCAGAAGGCTGGCTGAAGCCAAGGAAAACAAGGTCCTGGGCAGCCTATCTCACCTCTCCTTCCCTCCCAGCCAGGCTTTAAATGACATACTGCTGTCACAAAATCCGTGGAGTAACTGGGAATTGCTAGCCGACTTCTGCCTCCTACTCTGTTTTGTTTCTGTGACTCTCACTTAACGAGGTTAATTCTATCTTAGCATTTTGGGGTTTGTGCTGATACTTGCAGCCATCCAAAAGCTTGCTGTCAGTGTAACTGAAAAAGGAAAGCACACGTTGATGTTTATCAGACCCGATTCATACAGAGAGATATTTGGACCCTCTTCTCTATATAATGACTAATTGAATGATAATAGCTTTTGACAGACACCGTAAAGAATAACATGCTTTCTGTAGTTTTAAGCATGTCCACACAGGAAGAATTGTCATCACTTTCGTGTAAATACATAATAGTTTTGAGACTCACAACTTGGCTTAAATCCCAGAAGTCTCTGAGACAGTCACATAGACATGTTAATGATTTTGTACGTGATTAGGAGGCTTACAAACTTGCTGTGTGTAATCTTGGAAGCCAAATTAACAGTAAAATTAGAAGCTATGTGTGTAATTTTTTCCTAACGAACTGTTAATCAATACCCTTTTAAACACTATCTGGATGATCAAACTGTTAATATGGAAGTACATTCCTTCGTAATCTTACATAAATGCAAGATGCCATGTGTGTATTTTCAAAGGGAGAATGAAGTGCCTCAGGAGACTGAGTTTCCGGATATTAAAGCACCGATCTACAAACTCTGAAACAAGACTCTGGGAAGTCAAACCAGATCCTTCGCTGCTTCGCCAGTTTTTGAAGCAAGTGCTAGGCTAACACGGCATGGGGAAGCCAAAGGGAGTATGAATGTTGGGGGGCTGTGTGTGTGTTGTTAAAAGAGATGATCACTTCTCTAGGACTACTTCCTCTACTCCGCATACAAATCTCATCTCTCAAGTGCTCTGATTAAAATCAGCGAGTTAAACCTCCAAGCTGTTCAGTACGTAGCTTTGCACTGGGTTACTGTATCCCAGACCCAAATACAAGGTTTTAAGACAAAAGCTTATATAATTTTCCCCCACTGTATCAGTTTGTCTAATCTTAAATATATTGCCTTATTTCACCAACCATTTAATAGTTACTGTTTTTCTATTTAATTATTATTACGGAATTACTTTTAAAAAACAGTAATTTCTTATGACTAATTTTTTTTTTTTTGCAGCCTTATGAATTTTAGAGCCAATGACAGAAGAGAATCCCTTTTATTTATACTATCTTATTCCACGTTGGTCATTAAGTAGCCATTTTGTAACTGATCATGTAAGTCTTTGTCTAAGACTACCTGTTACACAAACTGTGGGAAAAGGATTTGTAAGAAAATGGAAGACTAAATAAGGCCTTGAATAGCTTTATTGAAATCTGTATAAATAAACATGCGCATTTCAAATGTAAACCCAAGTGAACTCAAGTGCAGACAAAATTTTAACCTCTGTCATGCAGGAGGTTAGTTTACATTTAAAAAAAAAAAACCTCAAAGCAGCTTTAAAATACCAGGATGAAACACCAGTTTTAATATCAAGGTATAAAGCAAAGCCATGTCCAACATACCTCATTTATATCCTGGTCAAATGCAATTTTTTAAACTTTTTAATGCTAACATAAATAAATAATTTACCAAAGTGTGCACTCACAGAGTGAACTTTTATTTACAATACACAATTTATAACCTATTGTATTTGATTAGTTCAAGTGAAGAACATCATACTTTTTGCTTTTTTCCTTTTCTTTTTTAAATTATTTGTTTAAACAGTGGGACACAAAGCAATTCTCCAGGTAGTAGATATGTGAAGTGTGCCCCCCACACGTCAGAGCCCCCCTCAAAGGCAGTACTGTATACAAATCAACAATACATTCTTCCTACTAGATCAAAGGGAAAGTAGCAAATGAAAAAAAATGTTTCAAACTGTCACACTTATTTTGGCATCCTGGACCCCTGAACATAGTTATCTACAAGCCAATTCAAAGTTCGTATGCCGTATATTCTGTACAGGTTCTGACTTGAACATGCAAACGCCAATTCTCTTATAATGAGTTACCTTTTCAGACAAGCTGTAAGGCTGTGGTGAATTCCGTCAGGAACACACAAAGAAAATGAGCAGGCCCACCTTTAAAGCCATTTTGTTCATTAACAATTTAAAGGCAGGTTATATTGAAAAAAATTCTCATCTAAGCCCGATACACAGTCATTGCTATGGATGCAGGATACTATTGAACTCTGACCCTATCACAGAGCAGTCTGTAAGCTGTCCAACTACAAAAACCGGGGAGAGAGAACTTACAGCACAATTTTGAATTTTGGACTGACACCAGATTAAAATTATGCATGTCTTGTAAGCAAGATAACAGGAATTATGTCTGCAGAGTAGATACCAACAAGCAACAAAGGATACTTATATTTAATTGAAAAACTTTTTGTTAATGCAGCATGAAATCCAGAACCTGTTCCACAGCAGCAGTAAGATGAACACAATATTCTGGATGCTCAACAATATCACAAAAGGTTAAAACACCTTTTCAAGCTATTTCTTCAATTGTGACCAAATTAAAAAAGAAAAAATTTAGGGAGAAACAAAACGTTGCTGTTTCAAGAAAACTACTGCTTAAATATTTAGGACATTTTTACTTGTAGCCTGTGTGACAGCCTAAGGAACATGTATATCTTCATCCAGAAACTAGACTTGGCAGTAGTATTCTTGCAGTACTAGGAAAATAAATGTCAGAAGTCCACAGATTTAACATTGTAGTTATTAACTCACATCCAAAACAAAAGAAAACATGATCCATCAGAACAGCAGCAGAAAACTTTAAAGGGGTTTATTTGTGATTTCCTATATATAGCTTGTGAATACAAGACTGTAAATGCGTTAGAGACAATTTCTGTTTAAGTTTTTATTGTTTCACTTCAAGTACTGCACATGTTAAAATGTACTAAAGATTTACATTCTGTTATCTGAAATTCCCCATCTCAGATTTTTATTCTTAATTTGGTGGGCAATTTCTCTCTTTCAATAGGTATCCCCGGTAAGAAAGTCTCTTTTATGGCTTCTAGTTCTTCCGTTAGTTAGTGTGCATACAATTTTCATTTTCTAGATCATTATCATTTTCATTACTGTCTTCATCGCTTTCTAGCGGGATGCCTGTGGCAGCTGAAGCACTTTGTTTAGTTTCCCGGTCAAGAGGGAAAAAGCCAGTTCCACTGATCGTGTCCTGTCTCTGGTAGAAGAGCACATATGCTGCTTTGGACTGCAAGAGAGAGAGTGTAATATGCTCATAAGGCTCCAGACAAACTATTTACAATCCAAGTGAATCCATTTTGTTTGTTTTGCTTCCACGGCTACAACAGAAAACTACAAAGAAATACAAAGCTTTCATGCCAGTTATTTTTGCACATCGGAGCAAACCATTTCTGTTTTGTACTGCCCCTTGAAAGGACACAAACTTCTACCTACAAACTGACTGCAAGGTTCAGGATTTACTCTTCACTGTAATTCCCTCAGGAAACATAATCAACATTCTTAATTTTAGAAACGCAAAAGGTACTTGCCACTATTTGGTCCTCACACGCAGCGGACACACTACTGTCATCAAAGTAGTACCATTTCCCATCATCTTTATTTTTTGCAAAAGCAGTATCTGGAACAAAAAAGTACAATGTCTAAGGACTCTGTATCTTCATAGATGTAATACAATCACTTGCCTGAGTCTGTTACTGTTAAACACTTGAAATTTAACTAACTAAACCCTGTATCACTCTTAGACTGGCACTTTCACACTTCTCTTAAGCAAAGCTTAACCAGTAACATTCCCCTTCTACAGAGAATGTAGAGTGATAAAGGACATTCCAAATAAAATCCCTCAGACACTTTTTCATTTTTCTCTCATCTTTCAAGGAAATGCACAATGTACAAAAATACAGACAAGTAAGACAAAATCTGTATTTTTACAGAGTTCTTACAGATTCACAGAGTGGAAGGGGTTGGAAGGGACCTCTAGAGATCATCTAGTCCAAGCCCCCTGCCTGAGCAGGATCACCCAGAGTAGGTCACACAGAAACAAGCCCAGGCGGCTTTGGAAAGTCTTCAGAGGAGACCCCACCACCTCTCCAGGCAGCCTGTTCCGGTGCTCTGTCGCCTCACAGGGAAGAAGTGTTTCCTCATGTTCAGGCTGAACCTTCTGTTTCCGGTTTATGGCCATTGTCCCTAGTCCTGTCACTGGACACCACTGAGAAGAGCCTGGCCCCATCCTCCTGACACCCACCCTTTAGATATTGATAAGCACTGATAAGATCCCCCCTCAGCCTCCTCTTCTCCAGGCTAAACAGACCCACCTCTCTCAGCCTTTCCTCAGATGGAAGGTGCTCCAGGCCCTTCATCATCTCAGTTGCCCTTCGCTGGACCCTCTCCAGTAGTTCCTTGTCCTTCTTGAACTGAGGAGCCCAGAACTGGACACAGCACTCCAGGGGAGGCCCCACCAGCGCAGAGCAGAGGGGGAGGATAACTTCCCTCGACCTGCTGGCCACGCTCTTCTTAATGCATCCCAGGATGCCACTGGCCTTCTTGGCCGCGAGGGCACACTGTTGGCTCATGGTCATCCTGTTGTCCGCTAGGACTCCAAGGTCCTTTTCCCCAGAGCTGCCCGCCAAGAGAACAGCCCCCAACCTGTACTGATCCATGGGGCTGTTCTTCCCCAGATGCAGTACTTGACACTGGCCCTTACTGAATAACATTTTCTCTTTTCACAATATACATAGCTTCAAGTATAAAAGAACATTTATCCTTTAAAGCTCATTTAATAGATTTTTGTGTTTGAATACTTGTGAAAGCATTTCAAAGTAATGAAAAAAACTGTCCCGAAACCATTAAAAAAATGTCACTGATTCCAAGAGTACTTAAAGATGGAAGGAAAGCTGACATGTAGATTGGTGATACTGAAATCAACTTACAGTGCCCTCCTCCCATTCCTCCATAGTGGTTGGAGACAGCAATCAAATTGTAGCGGCAAGGCCCTGCATTAGGATTAATAAGGAACTCTGACATGTCCAAGTCACTGTTTAAAAATAAATAAATAAATAAAGCCAAACAGAAACCACACACACGAAAAACAAAACAAAACACCAAAAGAAGGTCATGTTAATAATACTTTTAACCATTTCACATTCTGGTGGTCTTTAAGCCCTTTACTTTGTATTCCCCACAAAACCCACAAACACCAGACTATACACTAACAGTGCCCCTCTCACTCTGCAAGGAGTGGAACAGGAACCAATCATCTTAACCGAAACTACTGATAGAGCTCTTCCACACTTAGCTACTATTGCTATTTGTCCAAGTTCATACTTTTCACCTACAAGTGTTTGGTTGTCAAGTGTTTACTGGATGCCCAACATGAAGCTGAGAACAAAAGCATTTTACATTGTTGCTGGACATGTGTTCTAGTCATGCTAACTTTTACACTTCCAGCACCAAAATATTCAGGTTGCTTACTTTACTGGGAAGTCAACCAATGTATCCAACTTGTCCCTCATATATCTGCTGTAGGAAAAGCGCTTTAGATGAACTACCAGTACAGGGGGCAGAGACCACAAGTCTAACTTCTTGGTAGCTTGCTGATGTTCTTTACAGTTTGGACAATACCTAAAAGATTAAAAAAAATCAGTTTTCAGTAACTGCTGTCTCAATGTATGTTAAAATACATTACTGCAAAGCCAGTAACACAGGAGGAACTGAATGAGCAAAAGCTGAAACACACACATGGTCCATCTTTGGTTACTAATGCCAGTGATATCCCTTCCAGTTTAAAAACAGGTAACAGTGATTACTGGAACCTGAAAAAACTCCTTACTGAAAACCTTGCCTCCTTTGTATGCAATTACTAAACAGGCTGTGACTTAAGTTTCTGGTCCCTGCAATGTGTATTTGAATCGTTCAAGAACAATGGCTTAGGGGGGAAGGTAAGTAAGAATAGCGCACGGAAGCAACTCTCCTGTGAGGTGGTCTATGCATATTCTGCATCTTGGTATCTAACAAGTAAAGATCTAGGAAAATAAGAGATGAGCCCTAATTAGAAAAGACCGCACAAGTGGTTTTGCACAGCAAGATCAGATGAAGACCAGAAATTGGGAGAACTGTGAGGGCAGGCTGTAGTTGAAGAACTGTTTTCCCAGTCGGCTTAGAATAATTGAACTAAAATAGCATTGGACTAGGGGTGATGAGCTCTCACAGGTTACACCTGTGAAGACCTGACAAATGAATAAAGAATGTGATTAATGACCTCTGGTGAGATATATCTAGCAGCAACTGTTTGACTTCAGCAGTAGTTGTATTTTGCAGTTTAAAAAATGTGCTGCAAAAATGGAAGTGCTTCACCACACTTGAGTTATGTGGTACCTCAAACAGTCCATCCAGTGTTGTATAATCTGTCCAACCCAAAAAAACCCAGAGAATTTATCAATCAGAGGAGGGACTGGAGTCCGGGATCAAGGAGGATCTCTGGGAGTCTCCAAAACTTCTAAGTATCCACAAAAGTGGCAGACCCTTTTTTCAAACTTAATCCTGAGATTCTTGTGTGGATGCAGGATTCTTATCTGCTAAAAAAGTCCCGAAGAAGAAAGATCTCATGGGAACATCCTTTAACTGTGAATATTCAGATACGATTCCAAATCATAATCTGGAAGAACCATGAATCAGAATAGAAGTCTCTACCAAAAACTTCATGGTTGGAACACGGGTTTGAGAGGTTCTACTAACAACAGATATCCCCCATCCCACAAGTTGTTTAAGCACATCCCTATTTCATACGTTATAGAATCACAGAATGGTTTGGGTTGGAAAGGACCTTAAAGACCATCAAGTTCCAAACCCCTGCAAGGCAAGTTATGTATTTGCATAAAAAACTTCAGGCTGTACCAACCAGTGGATCACTGTTCACAGACAAGAATATCTCATGGATCTACCCTCCCTCCTAACTCTGAATGCATTAGTTGTCTCCCGCACAAACATGACCTTCTGTACATGGTAACAGTTTTAGTTAAGCAATGGATCAAAATAGAAAACAACTGAGAATCTTCAACTGTGCTTGAAATAACAAAATTCAAAACACCATTAAGAAATCAATTAGGTATCTCTGCAGATGTTCAAGTGTGGTTTTGACTACATTTTGAGAAATACACCATAGGACATGACAATTACAATTTTTTGTCCTTACCATGGGTCTTCAGCACCTAGTTTTTCCTTTGTTGTGAACAGCTCAATGCAATCTTTTAATTTCACAAAAGGCTTTTTGGGAGGTTTATATTCCACACTTTCATGTTTTTCAAAATCCTAAAGAGAAGTATTTCTTGAGTTAAGAGAACAAATGAAACAAAACTGATTTTAGTGATGTCGTCTTACTATGAACAGTAACTACAAAGCTCCTATATATGGAAAAACTGATCAGAAACCATTCAAGTAAAAAGTTTTCACTGCTTCAGATTTAATTCCAAATTAGTAAGCCTCAGATTTGCTAATTACTTAGATGTGTAAATGAAGTTTACTTATGATAACATATTTACCACGAATGACGTGAAAAAAGAAGCTTCTTTTGAAGACTTACAATCTTTTACGTCACATTAATTAAATTGCATTTTTCACATTTACGTTTCATTAGTGTTGGAAAGTAGAGCAACATAAACAGCTTACCTCTGCTGCACTATCATCAAAATATCTCTTCTTCAGTTCAGGATCCCAATCCAAAGCAAGGAAAGATCTTTCTAAGATTAAACATATATTTTCTCTTATTTCTTGCTCTACATGAAATTGTATTAACTATGGACAAACACTCTTCAAAATGAATTAACCAATGCTATCATGAATTTGAGGTTAAAAAATTCAAGCACAACTTCTGCATTTCTGAGACTTAATTACAATAACCTATTAATTATTTATACAGGTTTACTGTTGGAAAGAAAAGATATATCAAATAGCACACAGAGAATGACACACTATTCTATGGAAAAGAAGTCAGAAAAAGGCATCAGAATCAAGTGTTTCCCAACCTGCTGCCCATGACTTACCATCAAGCCTAGGTTGCCTATCATCAAATCTAATATGTCTGGTATCATCTTTGATGTAGTTTATGTCAGTATTGCCTAAATTATTGAACTGGAATGTAAACAATCGCTTTTTGTGTCCCGTGAGTGGTTGACCTTTGCATGTATCCTCAGTACATAATCCATTTTCTGAGTCATTGTCACCTCCAACTGAGTCTTCTGACTGGCTGTTTTCATTCTCTGAAGGAAGTTCCTGATCCTGGCTGGATTCATCATCTTGTTCATCTGTTTCCATTTCACCTGAAACAAAGTAGAAGGAAGAGGAAGAAATGAGATAGAATAACATTAATTGAAAGACATTACAGAATTAACATCCGTTTCAAATTGACTACAGAATACTAAATGAGCTTAGATATTCCAGTCTTACTTGGAGATCCTTCCTCGTGTATTCCATTTGGGCCATTACCATTGATACCATGGTCCTTACAGCAGTGTATAGATCCTTCAGTGTCTTCAGTTTCAGTACAGGTTTTTACATATCGGCTAAATATAACCAATGAAAGCAACAGTTAGAACCAATAGATTTTAAAATATTTACACTGCTCAAGCCAGATAATTCAACAGTTACAGAAATAATTTCTAGTTTACTGTACTCCTGTCCTTTCTGATTTATTCAGCATTAATAGCTTTATTGCCTAATACGTCTACTCTCACCGGCACATCTGAAATTCTGCTCATCTATGATCTTATGATTTTAGCAGTTACTTGATTTTATGCAAATTGGTTCTTAGTATTAGTATCTCTTTCTCCAGAAGTCGCTTCTTCAACTGTTCATTAACCACAGTTTGTTGTGGTGGTTTTTTTTTTTTTCTCTTTACACCAAAAAACCATGTATAGGTTCACTTACAGAGAAAGTTACATCACAGAAAATGAAGCATAAATGATTCTAATCTCTTCCGCATAATACTTACTCCGGTCTAGTTTCAGAAAGTGTTTACCATGTAGTTTTACAACATAAATTACTACATAAACTCGTATAATAGATACCAGAGGTACAATCATAGCAGAATAATTGGCAAAACATTTCCATTTTACCAAGACCTAACAAGCAGCTTTGTATACAGCAGAATTAATTCCCGTAAACTGACAATACAGATTGACTCTTTACTGTTTTCTCAAATAATTTTTGGATCAGGTCATGCTAACAAAAAATTAAAATCCACACTAGTTCACATCTCAAGTGGCTAAAATGTTAGATTTAAATATATTTAACAGAAAGCAAATAAAAGACAAAGTACTTTAATCAGTTAGCAATGCATGTAAAGGTAAGTGCCTACTGATTCCAACTATTAGTACTATTCATACCAAACACATTTTTCTTTAAAAAATAACCTTACCACATTCTTAGCAACAGCAGGTTATACAGTTTATCTTCAGTGTTGTTTCTAGGCACTGCTATGAGAAAAGGCTGGCCAAACAGTGAAGAACCACTATGGCTGTAGCTAGTGTGCCTGCATTTTTCCCTTAAACAAACAGGAATTATAACTTGTTCTGTATCTTCTGTTCTATTGATAGCAATTTCAAACCTAAAAGAAAACCAACAAGAAACACAAAGGATAACTATCATTTAAAAGGCTGCAGAGGGGAAAAGATAAAAAAAATAATAAAACCCCCAGATTTGTCTTTATCTTATGTCAAGGCTTTTAATCTTTTGCAAATACCTAAGCAAACTGCAAAGAGATATGAAGCATGTTCTCTGTACTTACACATAAATGTCATCACGTTCCATAATACTACTCAGATTTTCATCCATGCCAAATATCCTGTGGAATCTATGATTGTATATATCAGTAACAATCATCTAAAAGAAAATGGAGTATACATCATTGAATCAGGTTAATGTGTGTTAAAAATGTTCATTGGTGTACTTCATATAAGAAATTACTCTTACCTTATCTGCAGCAACATCAGACAAAGCTGACAGTGCTGTGCAAAGATCCAATATATTTCCAATTTTGGGAACAACTACTTTGTACTAAAAAAAAAAAACAACATAGCACTTCAATTTCTGAATAGAACAAATATACATTAAAAAAAAGCCCAACATATCACATTCAGTATACTTCATGTACTTCTTTCAGATTCTTGAACTTAAGGCATAAGGTATGTAAATCGACTAACACAAATTCCGAAAGCAGCTGAAAACATGGTAGTTATCTTCACAACTTTGGTCATACAAACAGACATACTTTGAATATTACATTTGTTAGTTTATACAATGCTTCCTTTTTTAATGTTATTTTACTTTTTCTGTAAGACAACTAACAGCACCAATTACTTAGATTTGTATTTCAACAACACCTACTTATTTAAGCATTTAAATGGCATGCACACTATTGACTAGGTTCTTAAATATGGTATACAACAGAAGTTGTTTATAGAGTATTACTGAGAAAAAAGCAATGGCAGGCAATGGATGAAGACTGAATTCTAATTTCACATGCAGAGAGAGAACCTGACGATAAATCAAAGAAAACCTCTGTGGCTCCCTTAGTGCAGTACCCCTGCAGTTTGTAATGAAACTCCACACAGGACTCTTACCTGTTATTTGCATAATAAATAAAGAGAGGATTAATTAAAAATAAGGTATTATAACTTTGTAATTAACTGCCAAGTACAGCATTTGTTAGGTATCTTATTAAGTCCTGTAGTTATTTAGATGCACAAAAGACCTATTGAACTTGTTCTCTTCCCAAACTATTCATTCCTGAATAACCACCTCCTATGTCATACAGGGTCATCTTCGACTGCTGCGTGTCCCTTATGCAAGTCTCTTCTCACAAGTAATTAAACTTCTAGCAGGCTCATCTCCCACTAGTTAATGCACGTCCCTTTATTTTGACTTCCCTAACCCATCTTGCCCTTGAGAACACTCCCTTTCCCCCACAGTACTCTGATTCCAGGTGTTGCAAGTTTGTCTAAATGCCCATGTCTTATTTCACCTATCCTCGCTTACCCCATCAAGTACAGCTAGAACCATTTGATCATTATTTTGTTACCATGATCTGTGTACACAGTTTCATGCCCTTCTAAGGTGAATACTAACATCCCTCCTAAAAAAGGCAAAAGAGATGCTCTTTACAAAGAATTGTCATCAGCAATTTTTTCTTATGACTAGTAAGTGACAGCATAGAAGAATTCAGGACTACCCAATATCTACAGTCATGGGGGTTTTTGCACCACTTCTTACAAATATTTGCCTTCTGAGGCTAAGAAACCAAGGAATTAAGTCTGGATTAAGTGTACAATTTTTTTTTTTTAAATAACCATAGAAATTCATTATAGCAACACTAAACCAAAAAATGAGTACAGCATACATTTTAAAAATTAAGAAGCCTGATTATCACATCCATAAAGTAACTATCAATATCTTCCTTGAACAGACAGAAATATATGAAGGTATGTAGAGTCTTCCTCAGGCTAAGTGGGACTTCAGAATACATACCAGAAAACTAGAGCTTGTTGGATTACTTATTGTACTTACAAATTTCAAAAGTGTCAAGGAACTCAGGTTCATTGTTAATGCCACATAACTCGGGAGTTTTGTACACAAACTAAGAGGCTTACCTGCATAGGCTTTGCAAGTGGATCCGTTCTAACTAAATAAACTTCCAAAGTGCGTTCTTTTTTCATGGGTAATGGAAGTGTCAAGTAACAAAAGGGATCAAAGGTTACGGATATCTTAGCGCATTCGGGACAAACTAGGGTGGATTTAAAAAGGCCGTGAAATATATCTACAATGATGGAATCATTTCTTTTTAAATGGTTTTCCCAGGCTTCTTCAGCAACCACCTGCAATTACAGCACAACCTGGGTTATGACAAAGTAGTAGGAAATGAATAGTGAGAATTATTAGTAAGTATACTTGATAGAACATTCTCAGTTACCACCTGAACATAGAAATCTCTCTCCAAAGGACCCTGTAAGATGTTACTGCTGTTAAGAACTGCAGGTTAAAAGACATACACTTTTTCCAGGACAGAGATTCTGTCAGCGGTATTACACAGTCTGAAAGAGACTTCAAGTGGTTTGGAGCGAGACAAAAGCAAATAAAACTAAAAACTGCCATCTGAAGTAACTCATACTCCTAACAGAAGAGATTTCTATATGCTTGTAGCTCAATGCTAGAAGAGCTTCCCTGAAGAAAGAGTACTGGGGAGAGACAGAACACTGCATACTGTACGCATAAGAATAAAAGAATGGAAATTGTGTTTCCAACTGAACTCAGCACTGAATTGAACAAAAATGTCTTAACAAAGCCTTAACACCCTCCCACCCCCCTCCAGTTATCTTCAAATCGACAGAAATTTACAGAGGTACTTGAACAAATCTCCCTTTTAAGGTCTTATTTTCTGAATCTCTTCCAGAAAAAGCAACAAGCGATCAGTGTCCCAACCTTTCAGTGCACAACCACACAGAAGTATCTTGTAACCTACAGCCATGACTAAAATGTGATCCTGCTCTGGCAGGGGGGGGTGGACTAGCTGATCTCTAGAGGTCCCTTCCAAACCTCTCCACTCTGTGAATTTGTGAAGATCAACACCAAAAGCACTACCTTGTCTGGTCTCCCATCAGCATCCTTTAACTGAATATAAGGCTTTTTCCTAATTCGATTCAAATCCTCATGTAGTCCATCCAAGAGAAAAGCCAGTAGCTCTTGACAATCTTGTTGTTGATAACCAGAAAACTGTGGTGCAAATCGTCCCACTTGTGTCTAAAAAAAAAAAAAAAAGGAAAAACAACAAATACTTATGGTACCTTAGCTGTGACAAAGAATAAATACTTCCAATGTGCTATAGCAGAAAGCTGAAAGGTAAAATTTATAAAGTTATATGAGATAAGCTTTTCAATGAAGACAGGAAGCCAAAACTACTTCTCAAAGACCAAGCAAAGCACAGGACAGTTGACACTTACTTTAAAATGCATCCAAGTTTTTTAACAGTTAAATGAATGGACTGCATGCTGATGAATATTACTTCAAATTCTTATTCTTGCATATTTCCATAACTTTTGTATGCTTAAACTACAAAACCAAAACTGTACATTTAGGTTGAATTCCCTACTGACCTTAAATGCTCTTGGGGTGACATAGCTGTATTTTCCTGACCACATTTGCTTGATAAGCTCTGCATAAGATTTTGCTATTTCACCTCGCATTCCTAAAGGATTGTCAAAATTCAGCTCTTCTTGGTATTTATCGTTGAGGAAGTACTCTGTAAGAGGAGGTGTGTTGCTGAGACACTGTAAACAGAAATACAGAATTTTTAGAATGGCGATTTGAATTAGTTCTAAACAAGGAATATTTGAATGTTGTTAAAGCAGCCAGGAACAATACTTTAAACTGTAATGGCTAGTGCCCACAAGGTAAGGGAAGAAGGAGAAGAGAAGGAGGGGGAAAAAAAAAAAAAAGTCTTTCCCAGAAACAAATGGTTTTAAACCAAGACTGGCTGCATCTACCGTTACAAGTTATGAGCAGATAATATTTTTCAAAAGGTTTATGTCAAAGTTCATTTAACAGAGCAGTCCAGTCAACCACAGTGTGACAACACAATTTGTACTTAGGTTCAAAACAAGTTAATACAGGAATAGTAACTTTATAAAACTCCTTTCTGAAAGTTTACAGGGCCTCAAGAAGAGACTGCATAGGTACTTGGAAAAGGGAGCCAACGGGCCTTATTAAATGAAATTACACCACATTCAAAACAGTAGGTAAGCAAAAATAGTTGAAAACAGCAGTGATTTTTTTGGCAGGGATGGGAGGGAAAGGGAGGACATGGTGCAATTCCTTTTCTTCCCAGGAATCTACTTACGGATGCTGTTGAAGACAGCAATCTATTTTAGATTTGTGGGTAAGAATCAGGGAGAAGGTCAACTAGGCAGATATCAAGGTGGGATGATGTTATGTAACCCAACCAGGATGAAGAGGCAGATGAAGTATTCTATAAGCAGCTGACCAAAGTCTCACAGTCCCTAGCACTTGCTCCCAGGGGGATCTTCAACTTGCCAGATGTCTACTGGAAATGCAATACAGCAGAGAACTAACAGATTTGGAGGTTCCTGGAGTGTGTGGAAGACAACCTCCTGACACAGCTGGTGAGGGAGCCAACTAGGGAAGGCACCCGCTGGACCTGCTGTTTGTGAACAGGGGACCTGTGGTGGTTGGAGGCCATCTTGGGCATAGCGATCATGAAATGACAGAGCTTTCAATTCTTGGAAAAGTTAGGATAGGGCGATGAGCAGAACTGCTGCCTTGGGCTTCCGGAAGACAGACTGGCCTGTTTTGGAGCCTGGTTGGCAGAGTCCCTTGGGAGGGACCTGTGGTGGTTGGAGGCCATCTTGGGCATAGCGATCATGAAATGACAGAGCTTTCAATTCTTGGAAAAGTTAGGATAGGGCGATGAGCAGAACTGCTGCCTTGGGCTTCCGGAAGACAGACTGGCCTGTTTTGGAGCCTGGTTGGCAGAGTCCCTTGGGAGGCAGTCCTGCAGGGCAAAGGAGTCCAGGAAGGCTGGGCATTTTTCAAGAAAATAAAACGTTAAAGGTGCAGGAGCAGGCCGTCACCATGTGCCAAAAGACGAGTCGGCAGGGAAGACAACTGGCCTGGCTGAACAGAGAACTTTGGCTGGAACGCAGAGCAAAAACGGAGAGTTTATGACCTTTAAAAGGGGCAGGCAACTCAGGGAGAATACAAGGATATTGCGAGGTTTTACAGGGAGAAAATCAGAAGGGCCAAAGCCCAACTAGAACTTTACCTAGTCGCTGCTGTAAAAGGCAATTAAAAATGTTCTATAAATACATAAAGCAATAAAAGGAGGTATGTATGAGGTTCAACAAGATCAAGTGCCGGGTCCTGTACTTGGTTCACACCAACCCCCTGCAACGCTACAGGCTTGGGGACGAGTGGCTGGAAAGCTGCCCAATGTAAAAAGGCTTGGGGGTGTTGGTTGACAGCTGGCTGAATATGAGCCAGCAGTGTGCTCAGGTGGCCAAGGCCAATGGCATCCTGGCCTGCATCAGGAACAGTGTGGCCAGAAGGACTAGGGCTGTGACTGTCCCCCTGTATTCAGCACTAGTGAGGCCGCACCTCGAATCCTATGTTCAGTTTTGGGCCCTTCATTACAAGACAGACATTGAGATGCTGGAGCATGTCCAGAGAAGTGCAGTGGAGCTGGGGAAGTGTCTGGAGCCAAGTCCTGTGAGGAGCAGCTGAGGGAACTGGGATTGTTTAGTCTGCAGAAGAGGAGGCTCAGGGAAGACCTTACTGCTCTCTACAGCTACCTGAAATGAGGTTGAAGAGAGAGGTGGGTGTTGTTAAATGAGGGTGAAGAGAGAGGTGGGTGTTGGTCTCTTCTCCCAAGTGACAATAAGACAAGAGGAAATGGCCTGAAATCGCACCATGGGAGGTTTGGATTGGATATTTGGAAAAATTTCTTCCCTGAAAAGGGTTGTCAAGCATTGGAACAGGCTGCCCAGGAAGGTGTATGAGCCACCATCTCTGGAGGTATTCAGAAGGGAGGTAGATGTGCCTCTCTGCAAACAAGGGGAAGAACAAAAATTTTAGCTCCACATATGCTACTGTGCAAGATACGACAACTGAGGCTGGAAGAATTACAACTTCATTGAGTTGGGAAGAAGAAGTTATTCCTACTTCTGCCTCATACTGGTGTAATATTAGAAAACAAAACCATCATATGCTGTAGACAGCTGAGTTTCATGCCCATATTGCACTCTTTTTTTTCTCCCTCCTCACATAAAGCTTTCATGGGCTGTCAACAATATCAGTTTATATTTGTACGTAAAAGTCATGAAGATTACAGAAAATTCCTCTTTTTCCCCTCTAACAACTTCCACGTTCCAAAATAAGATGACACTGATAGTACTGAAATGCACAGCTATCTTTCTGAACACAGCAATTTCTGAGATATAGAGCTGACATCTGTTCTAAAATACCAGATGTCACAACTTTTAGAAAGGTAGCTGGTAAAGGAACTGCTACAGTTGACCACATCACCACTCATCTTTTCAACAGAACTGACAAAGCTAAAGAATAACAAACATACTTACTTCTTGAAAAGGTTTACAATGGAGAACTATTTAAGATCATGATTAAATTCACTGGGAAAAAAAGCATCTAGAAGACAGTTTGAAAGGAAGCCTACGTTCTTATTTTCTCACGATGTGATATGTTGTAAGTTACCAAAGATGAGTTACAGAAAGCATCAATTAAAAAAAAGAACTATTAGAACCAAGACAATCTACTAGACAGCAAGTCATCAGATTTATGTGCCCTGTTCAACCTAGTGGTTTGGTTTTCTGTTTGTTTTAAAACATAGATGTAGGTAAACTAACATGAAGAATAACAGAAACCTATAAAGCTGAACAAATAGAGTAAAACTACAGAAAATCGTTTGTAAACTAAAAGGTAATAGAATGGCCCTTCATTTCAGGTACTGCAGTCTCCACAAGCTTTCTTTAAGCAACAAAAACTTCTGTAAAGGGTTCTGTTTCTGAACCCAAACTGGTTGCTTAGCTAAATGATCATGGGAAAACAATGGAGCAGAATGTAGAAAGTCCAAGACCAACTATGAGACACCACAAAAGAGAAGGATCAGTCTTTAGCATGACAAAGGTTAACACTGAAATTCTAGTTCCATGTTATATATTAATTACTTGGGAAGAAAAAAAAGGAAAAAATAAAAAGTTTTTTTCTGTAGCAGAGCAATCTGCAGATAACAATTATTTATGTGATCAATATCAAGGGATCATAATCCACCTCCAAGAAAATCAGACAAACAGTATGACTGGACAAAACAATGATTTACACAATCTGTGCATCAACTGTATTTTGCAACACTGCATGCTTTGTTGATGTGTGTACACATGCAGAAGAAAGATCCCATTTCCCACAGAGCTCTAATCTCTGGTATCCCACCAAAAGGGCAAAGCAGTATTTCAGAAATATCCACAGGTGGCAGCACAGCAATGCTTCAGGATATTCCTATTTTTCTAATGTTTTGCAGCTTAGAACACAGGTCAGAGGCTGTGATCCCTTGATCACCTCTGTGCTCTCTCACTGGACTTGCACCAGTACATCCTCGTCTCCCTGCTACTGGGGAGAAGTGAACCCAGCACTCCAAGGGTGTCTTGCCCATGCTGAGTGGAGGGGAAGAACCACCTCTCTCACCCATCTGACAATGCTTTTCTCAGTGCAGACCAGGAGGCTGTTGGCTGCCTTGGCCACAGGGGCACATTGCTGGCTCGTGTTCAGCTTTTTGTCCAGCAGGACACTGGGTGCTTCTCTGCCAAGCTGCTTTCCATCTGGATCATGCACCCCCCTACACGCCCCAGTGTGTTATGGTGCCTGGGGTTATTGTTCCCCAGGTACAGGCCCTTTTATTTCCTGTGGTTGAACTTGCTGAGGTTCCTGTTTGCCGCCTTCTCCATCCTGCTGAGGTCCCTCTGAATGGCAGCACACCCATCTGGTGTATCAGCCCCTCGTCCCAGTGTTGTGACATCTCTAGTCTCACTGAGGGTGCACTCTGCTCCATCATCCAGGCCAAAGCCTAGAGCACCCAATATTCTCAAGTAGAATTCCCCAGACTGCCATCCAATACTATCCAGGCTCATCCTTTCGTCACTTCCAAGATCAGACAAGATCAAACATGTTCAGAGTGCTTCGGCTATAGGCACTACACCTCTAGCCAGAATAATCCATTGTTAACTCTGATAACAGTAGGAGATGAAATTAATGGCAAATTAGTGCAGTGAAATGTATGCTTTAATGAAAGCAATGAAATTTCAGTTTCAGGAAATGTATGACTGGAAAAAGGGTAGAAAGGAAGTGGTGGCAAGAGGAAGGAGACAATAGAACTTGTGGTCTGTGAGAACGTACTGTGTTAAGAACATGTCATACTTTCACTAAAAAGCACTTCCATGGATCACGTTAAACTGTGAACATGACTTTCTTTGAGAGACAGAGTAGGTGGAACTGAAAGATACTTTACACTTCCTTGCTAAGAAAGCTGCCAAATAATGCATTAGAAAAAACACACCATCAAGGACATACTAAAGGTACCATGCCAAACTGAAAGCTGCATTGCTAATTTTCTTACCCAGAGCACTGTCTTGTGAATCAGCAAAATTGTATTTATTAATTTACACTACAGTTTCTCAGAGCTTATTTGAACACTTGATTCCCTAGATATAACTGAAAAGCAATAAAGTCAAAGCTGACATGATTTAGAATGCAGACATCAGAACTAAATCCAGTTAAGACAATGGGATATTGATGTGAGCTGTAGTTAGTTACACTGTACAAGACTCCTAAAGGCAGTAACCCATGCTTGTAATTCTCATCTAAAAGGTTATTTTTAAATCTACCTATCTCCAAATTCATGTATACCAGTTCAACAAAGGTTTGATTAGTAATCAAAATCATCCTTGTTTTTAATCAGTCTAGCCTGATGAAGCATGTATCGTCATCATAAAAAAAAAAAAACCAAAGACAATTCTGGTTCACACACTAGACATAAAAATATGTTCTCTTTTATTTTTCTTTACAATAGCATAATGACGCACTTCAATAATCAAGCGAGGTTATATGTAGCATTTTTATTTAGAATGGACACTGCAAAATGTGTGCCCGTCCCCCTTTTAGCCATCTTTCATGCAGTAGGCTAAAAAAAAATTGAATTACTTCCTGCACTGTTCAAGTTCTCTTCAAGTATCCTCATTAAAACATTTTTAAAAACAAGCATAAATTGAACCTTATGGATGTCTTACGTAAATAAAGTATGGAATAGCCATGGAATAACCCCACATACCACTACAGGCTGTTGGCTGTCTGGCTAGAAAGCTGCTTTGCATAGTATGACCCAGTGGTCCTTTTCTGTGGAAATGTGGAAGAGCCAGGACAGCATTCCTGTGGGAAAGGTGCTGAACTGAAAGCTGGGCTAAAGACAAGACAAGACTAAGGGGAGAGCTGGTGGCTGTGTGCAGCTACCTGATGGGAGGCTACACAGAAGTGGTGCCAGACGCTTCTCGGAAGTGCACACTGACAGGACTAGAGTAGCAGATACAATCAGGAGGTGGGATCCATGAGCATCCTGGGGTCCTTTTTAAACCAAACTATTCTCCGATTCTATATACAAAGGGGGGATAGAAAACCGGCACAGACTGTGAAATTCTGGAATATTTACTCTTTTGAACAAATTTCAACAACTTCATAAACTTAGCTTACAAATGTGTCTGAAATTACTTTTTTCCCAGAACAGGCTAAAGAAGGAATTCAACATTGTGGGTTTTTTATTTCACCCTAAGAAAGCAAAACGTAAGACAGGAACCCTTGTGGGGACACAGGAGGAGAGTAACTGAAGTATGCCTGGCTAAGATCTAGTATCTTTATACTCAGCGGGAAAAAAAATGGGGATGAGAACTGAAATACACTTTACAGTTTTTTGACATAAGACTGCTGGAACTCGTGTTTTGTCATAAAAGAACTAAATAAAACCAAACTAAGCTACTGATCTTTCTGATTATTAATTAATCTACCACTGCAGTTTTCACTTAGAAGTAAAAGGACTGAGGTTTGTCTTGGTAAGAGTAATACTAAGCATACTAGTATTTCTCTTGCAATCAGCAAAGAAACAAGCTATTACATTCCTGTAAAATATCTCATCCATGAAACAGCAGCTATTCAAAGAAGAAAGGTCAAAGGGAAATATGTTCAAAGGTTCCTTGCATTTTAACCTGTGCACCAGAAGTACATGATAATTAGTTAGAAATAAGAGGCCTAGTAATCCACCACTTTTTGACACTGCAGCACTACAATCTGTACTCAAGGACATCTCAAAGTGAGAAAGTATTTTTTGTGACATGCATGCATAGCAATCATTACAAAAAGCAAAGAATTGCACTTAAGGGTTCACTCATGTAGAATGTTGGTCAAATCTGACACTGGTTACTGTGCAAAACCAGGGGAAACAATGAACACAGCTATGTAAATCAACTTTTCTAGTATACCAATACAGATGTATTATTTCTCCATTTTAATCCTACCCTGCCACTTAATAGAATCTCTTGATATTAGTTTCCAGACATGACAAAGTATAACAAGACAGTAGTTTCCAAGTAATCAGGCAAGCTGTTATTATTCTAAAGTACATACCTGAATTGCTGAATTCATGAAACAAGTATTCCCCAAGTTACTCAGGCCACACAGGCCTGGCTGCTCATTATGTCTTCCTGGCTCTGAATAGTCATAATTCTTATAAGCAGTATATGATGGGAGACAATAGTTTGAATTTTTCACACTGTAAAAAAACAAAACATCTTTCACAATGTAAACATGTACTCCAGCACTTTACTACATACAAGTACTTTATAAACTTAAATGATTAAAAATGTTACAGTAACCATGAACAAGAAAGGATTTTAAAGAAGTATTTAACTTTGGTAATAACATCAATTTCAATTTAAGTCACCTGTGCAAACAGACAAAATCTAATGTACTGTAATAACTGGAATGATGATATCCCTACCCCTTTTTGATAGGAGCAGCTTCACAGCTTACTCTGTTCTTCATTGCTCCATCAAATTTAATACACTCTGACTTTAGACACCACCAGCAGCAATCAATCATTTACGTCCCTTTTGCATCCTGCTACTGCAAGAGTGAGGTCGGTGGGAATGGGAATGTAGAGTTACAGGTGAAAGCTGAGATTTCCAAGGCCACTGTGGCACAGCTGCCTCACTGCATCAGGGATTCTATTTATAGCTTCCCTGCTAGGACAGCACAATCCAGCATGCAAATGCAGGAAAGCCTTGAGAGGTAAAAGAATGCGCAAAATGACTCGTAACAACTTCGTTATAAATCTCTGTGATGCATCTGTTTAGAGAAACTGGAGAAGACTGGAATAGGTAAAATGGTAAGATTTAAAGCAATTCGATTCCAGATGAAATCATGCATATACTAAATATAGAATAGCCCTCAGAACAGTAAAGTAAGCATATCTGAGAACACTGAAAAGGCAAAAGAATCTTGTGAGAGGATGCTCTATAATATTAGAGGCATTAGAAAAAACTACCAACCAGAAAGGTCAAAGTCTTTCTTAAACTATTTCAGGCACTGATCATCATGAAATCTGTGTAATAGTAACTCTGGCTAAAGTTCAAGAGTATTTATTTCTGCAGTCATTAAGCATTATTCACATTAGAAGCAACTTTAACAAAAATTTGAAAAATCAACTGCTAAGAATGGCAAGGAAAAATATGCCGTGCAAAGAATCAGTCCTGATAAATAATTGAGATTTATAATTTTGAAAGTCTGAGGATGCAAGTACCCAATGGCATGCTCCAGCCATTATTCCTGAACAGTATCACACTCTTTACAGCCAACTGAATTCCAACTTTTCCCTCAATGCACAATTACTCACTTTTCATGAGTAACAGTTGTTTTGTTTCAACCACAGCAATTATTGAGAATTTCAAACACAAGGGGAAGAAAGTTTCTCCCTCTTTTGATGGCCTCAAATATGTGTAGTTTATAGCTCCACACCACAAAGCTGCTGTTCTCAAACTTTTACATATGATAATTTCTTTTTCATAGTTGACTTTCCCTTTAGTCCTTCCCTTTTCCATACACATGCATTTTCCTCTGCTCTCTGGCTTGCCCCCAAACTAGCTAAGTGCTATTGCGTTTACTGGTCATTGCCCATGAAAAATCCCTGTAAAGTTGGTTTTGCCCATTCAGCTTTATCCTAACTTGATTTTAATTTAATGCTCCTCTCTCACAGAATCACTAAGGTTGGAAAAAACCTGTAAGATCTAGCTTCACCCTAGTTTACACAAGATACTTTTTGAACTCCAGGGCCCACATACCCTTCAAGCATCCTCCTTTACTCAACCCTTCTCTATCACTAGTCCCTGGTCCACTCATGCATGAGAGATCGCCAGGGAAAATTACCTTCCATCTCCCCCTGCAGCTGCAGTCCAGCTACTGCAACCAACCCCAATTCCTTAAACTGGCAAAGCCTTAGTTCCCCCCCGGAAGAAAAAAACCACAAGCTTGCCATTGGAGCTAAAGCAACCTCCACAGGGTAACCAACACCACCACCCCCTCCCCAATCCAGCTCAGCAGTGTACAGCAGCAATAGAAAGGCACATGCAGAGGGTACACGAGAAGGTTCTACTTTCAGCCCTGCTTGCTTCCTTACTGCTTCGTTCACCCGACTCAAAAACTACACTTTTCATACGGTTAACAGAAATCTCTCTTGGAAATTTAGATGTAGGGATAATAACCAGACTGAATGTAATTTTCCTGGGGATTTTCACTCCCCTTCTTTTCCCGTTGCTGCAGCATTCCCCTCTTCAAGAACTGTCCCTTAGGAGGGACACCAGAAAGCTAGGAAATGCAATACGCATCTTATGGTTATAGTGCATTCATGTGAAAGATTTCCTCAAACTAGCTGAGTAATGTCATGATAATTTAACTCAAGATAATTGTAATGCATATAGATTAAATGACTTGTATGTACTGTCCATATCCTGCCTTTACACTTCAAAACAGCTTTCAGATGATGATTAACCCAGAGCACTCATTGTGTAGTTGGAGTTCTGGGAAGCGTGGATTTGAAACAGAGAAGTTCAGAAAATCATTGCTAGCCCTGGAAAGGACACAGTTTGACAGTGGAGTGCCATATACCAACACCACGTGCTGCAAAAGGAATTTGAGTTACAAGAATGAGCCCAGAAAACGAAAAGTTCAGAACATTTACTGAGCTCTGTAACATTTCAACTATTTCAATGCCCTGCCACTGTGTTTTTGCAACCAGGCACTTTAACAAACCTGTAATCAGGTTTCAACAATTTTTTAGAGATGACTGAAACAACAGTTACAAAATGAAGAAACCAAAACTTCTCACTTCATTCCCCAAGGAAAATCCCTGTTCAACTGTTCTTAATCCCCTCCCCACATAATTAAAAAAAAACCCCATATGTGACAAAATGCTTTATATGTAACAGCAATAAACAGAAATTCCAGGAAGACCTAAATGATGCATGTCTCCCCCTGCTGTTCTGAATCAACTAAAACGTATTATGCTAATCCTCCTATGTTATTCTTTCAACAAGATCACCTGCAAAGGTAAAATAACATCAATGATCAATTATTTGGAATGCTCCATTCCATCAAATGCAAACTCATATTAACAGAAATGAAGGCTTTGGCCCTGACAAAATGTGTACAAGCTATTTATTTCTCTTATCTAATGTATGACTGGCTCAACAGACAATGGCACGTTTACCAATTTGAGGCTTACTATTACTCAGAATACTTCCACAATTAGAGAAGTGTTACAGAAATGTGTACCAGATAAAGAAACATGATGCTTTTCAGAGTTTTAACATATTTTGTACTCGATAGCCGAGCTACAATAATTGCAAAACCAGGCTTGCAACAACTCTCATGTATGACTATTACTACACACAACCTGTTGTTTGCTTTTTCTGCCTTACAAATCAGCTTTGTCAGCTAAAATTATCTTCAAAACAAACGTTGATATTTCTCTTAGTCACAGCATCTCATGTCCATAGGGAGGTGCCAATGGATCCTGGAAAGCCACAATGTATAATTTCGCTACTGTACTAAAGATAATGCGCAATGTAAGAGACAGTAAGGCAGAAACATGATAATAAATTCCAGGCAAAGCCAACATTAAGTAGTTAATTAAAGAAGTAAGGAAAAGACTATAGCATTAATTAATGGAAAATAAGTGCTTACTTAGACAAAGAGATATTTGTGAGAAGAGCAGAACATAAGAACAAACTGATCTTAACCCAGAATGATGTAATAAAATTAAATACAGAGATACATCTTCTCATTTACCTTTGGAAGCCAAAAATTCTTAAATGCAACAGTAAGTACTTTAGAGTACATAGCATATTAATGGATATGACTTCTCTGTCACTGAACTAGCTCATCTAGATTATGTATTCTGACAGAAGTGCTGCTGAAGATTCTGCTGTATTACATATTGCAGTGAGTTATAAATTTGTGATTTTAAAAAATATTTACTTTAAACTCGTTGTACTTGCATTATTGCACTGTAAGGAAAATCATATACTTCTGCACTGACTATCTGCCTTACGTAACATTCAGGTACTCAGCGTCTTGAGTTACAAGAGAAAAATGGCTGGTATTTCATAACACCATAGAGAACATGTACCTACTATCTGATTTACAAACGTTTAAGTTAGTTAAGGCTCTTCAAAGGACCGGTGCCTTATCAAATCTGAATTATCATTCACTTCCTTTTAAACATGTATTTCTGTAGAAAATCTTCAAATTAAAAAACGCCAAACCCAACAAACAAAAGCAAAAACAATCCCAGAATTTTACCTTAAGTTCTAAAAGCTCCCATTTTGGGCTCCAAGATAAACCAAGAAATAAAAATAAAATCAGCTGAAGCAAGTGAAGAAAATATCTTTAAAAGCTGTAAGAGCTGGCAACAGGTTTCGTAAGTGCTTCCTAAAAATAACCACAGCATCACTAGGGAGAAGCTAACATAAAAAAAAAAATTAAAAGAGAAGAAAGCCTTGCTGGTGACTCCATAGGAAAAGTTTTGGTTTTGGCATTACAACTCTTTTCGCTAAGCAATGGGGGAGGGAGAGATTAGTTCTCAGCTGGAGGCTCAGCTCTGGTCAAGTAATTTTTCACACAATCATAGATACAATATACTTTTTATTTACTACACATTCACACACAGAGTACAATAGACTGCAGTTAAATACATGGATTTCAACTGTTTAACAGTGAGATTTGGGGCTACTCACAATTGGTAGAAGCACAAGTGACACTTCACCCCTTAGGAAAAATCACTTCTGATAAATGCAGTATTTAACTGGAAGATATTGTATAAGATATTTAATATTTATGTCACCTTTGTAATATTTAACATCTTCATGTTTGATCACAAAACGCATGTTTGAATAATATTTTAAATTTGAATGAATTGTAAGAATAAGCCTCTTCAATTTCCCCCAGCTTGCATTAAAGATGAGTGCTCTCTGGTGTCAAGCATTTGAAAGATGCTCCATTATCTGTTAAAGTGAAATAATTCCATGTTTTTCTATATTCACCAACTTTTTTTACAGTTGTGTACAACAACAAAAAAAAGATTACACACAAAGTTGGCCACTGGAATATGAAAGCTCTTCTTTTAGAGTTTTATCACATTCTTTATTAAACTTCTGAGTTGGAATATAAAGGAGAAAACCCTTAAATGTGAGAAGCCTCTTACTAAGCCTCTGCTCACTGTAATATTCAAGCACATCTATCAGCCTGATCCTGCTCAAATCTTCTAGCACTAAGACACAGAAGATAAGTTGCTGATAGTGATTATAGCCATTGATTAATTATGACAAGCATTATAGCTAAAGCAATTCAGCTTTAGTGGTCTCAAATCAATGTGTGATTACCTGAACATCAATAAATAAAGGAAAACCTGACCACCATAAATATAAGTAGTTCATATTTTTTTGTTGTCCAACTAAATTGAGGCACGATAATAGTGGCAACAATGTACTTTTAGCACGATAAACTCTAAATGAAGTCTTTATACATTTTCTTACAATGCTTAACGTTCTTTTAAGTATCTATTCTACTGAGGACTGAGAGTTACCAAACATCTTTAACTGTGTTTCATTTCCTGCTATCATGCTTTACAATACCTGCACTATGAAATACCGATCAGTAACAATTCACAATCCAAATATTGCAAAACAAATAAAAATCCTTAAGCTAGGAGTTATAAAACATCAAAAATTGTTTATGTCACACTGGGGCAATTAAATTAATGTTTTAAAGTATATTGCTTACTTTCTGTTGTTCATGTTGTTATAATTATTTGATAGAGACGGAGAGATCTTTGGTAAAGTTGAAAAATTTGATGCACCTGGGGACCTTTAAAAATATGAAAATTATAAATTAGATAAAAATGCTGACATATTAAAAACTATGAAAGAAAGCTAACAAATGAGCAGTGCATATAAACAAGCATGGAAAAGAAGTATTTTTTTTAAAAAGTGGACAAAGCACTGAAAACACCCAGGACACAAAACCCTCAGAACTCATCTTTTAAAACTTGAAACACTTCACAGTACTTTAAACTTCCATATCACATTAAAGAAACAGAGCTATTAAAACCAAAAAGCAAATAAACAAAAAACCCCACAGTCCACTGTGCTAAAAAAATATTGTTTGCTGTTTGTAGTATGACTATAGATATTTTGATGTTCTAGAACCTAGAATGTAAAGTTTCAAACATGAATTTCTATGATTTGTTCATTTAACCATAAATGGATGTAGAGACGAGATAAAAAACCAATTAATATACATATTTCAAGGTTAGTTTAATAGCAGCATAAAATCATTTAATTAAAAATTTTTATTAATATTGTTTAAAAAATTCCTACTTGGAAGACTCCTATGGCATACAGCCCTGGATAGAAGAGAGGGCCCAATATATTGGTTAATATTCCAGGACCATCTCCTGTAAGCTCAAGAACACTCCATCCTGACAAGCAAAGGCAGAAGGAAGGCTGCATGGATGAACAAGTAGTTCCTGACCCAAGTCAGACATGAAGAGGAAGTGTCTGAGTAACCAGCCTGATATGCTTCTATGATGAGATTACTAGCTTGGCAGATGAGGGAGGAAACCATAGATGTTGTTTATGTTAACTTCAATAAGGCTTCTGACACTGTCTCCTATAATCTCACAGACAAGCAGATCAAGCATGGATTACATAAGCGTACAGTGAAATGGATGGAAAAACAGCTCAATGGATGGTCCCAAACGATTCTGATCAGTCGCATAAAGTCCAGTTGGAGGCCACTGGACTACCTTGGATTATACCACTAGTGGTTTGCTACAGGGGTCAATATGAGGGCCTAGAGCATAATGACCAGAACATCAGGACAGAGTGCATCCTCAGTGAGACTAGAGATGTCACAACACTGGGACGAGGGGCTGATACACCTGATGGGTGTGCTGCCATTCAGAGGGACCTCAGCAGGATGGAGAAGTGGGCAGACCTTAGGAAGTTCAACCACAGGAAATAAAAAGGCCTGTACCAGGGTAACCTGGGGTCTGTAGGGGGGTGCATGATCAGATGGAAAGCAGCTTGGCAGAGAAGCACCCAGTGTCCTGCTAGACAAAAAGCTGAACACAAGCCGGCAATGTGCCCCTGTGGCCAAGGCAGCCAACAGCCTCCTGGTCTGCACTGAGAAAAGCATTGCCAGGTGGGTGAGAGAGGTGGTTCTTCCCCTCCACTCAGCATGGGCAAGACACCCTTGGAGTGCTGGGTTCACTTCTCCCCAGTAGCAGGGAGACGAGGATGTACTGGTGCAAGTCCAGTGAGAGTGCACAGAGGTGATCAAGGGATCACAGCCTCTGACCTGTGTGAAGAGACTGAGAGCTGGGGCCATTCAGCCTGGAGAAGAGAAGGCTCCAGGGCAATTTTATCACTGTGTAGAAATACCTGGTGGAGGAGGGTAAAGAAAACTGAGCCAAACTCTTCTCAGCGGTAGCCACTGCAAGAACGGGAGGCAACAGACACACTGAAGCATGGGCAATTCCATTGAAATATAAGGAATTCTGTTTTACAGCCAGGGTTATCAAACAGTGGAATAGGTCTTCCAGGGAGGCTGTGAAGCCTCCATCCTTGGAGTTGCTCAAGAACTGACTGGACACAGTCCCAAGTAACTTGATCTAGGTGACCATTCTTTGAGGAGGGGATTGGACTAATCAGTCTCCAGAGGTGCCTGGCAACCTCAACTAGACTGTGATTCTGTGAAAAGATTAGCTGATGTTCTGAAATGATCCTGCCCCTTTTCAAGCATTATAAATATTTCCAATATTCTACATTCTGACCTTTCTAAATACAGCATTTTATTCCCTGGCTTCAGAATTTATCTTTACAATTTGTACTCTTCCGAAACAAGCACTACGAGGAGGTAGTCTCAGCAGAAACCAGTGTGAGACCAGTATGTGACCAAAGACAGGGCTGTAGGAAGGTACCTACATGTTCACTATTTGTGACAACAAACTAACACTCTTAATGCATCTCACACAGAAGACTCAAAAGCAAGTGTTTAATATTTCTACCCGTTTAAACATTTATTGGATTTCTCATGAAGTTTTAAAGAGATGTAAAAACCTGTCCTCATTACTGCTTGTTGATAGTTTCTATTTGAATCCACTACATTTTACAAGCTTTCCACTATTACAATGCATTTGAATACCAAATTTCAATAAATCTTTCTGACAGCTGCCAAACCTCACAAACATACCCCAGCTTCACAGCAAAACTATTCATCCTTATTTGCTGGTTTACTTAGAGAGCCTCCTCTGACACTGGAATTCTCAATTACCATTTTACAGATCAAACATTTTCCAGGAGATATTCTTTAATTTAGGTATTTCTCCTGAATGCCTTCCATAAAGTGGAATGGCAATTTGTCACAATAAAAGCAGGTAACACCACCAAGAATATCTTCCTACCAAAACTTCCAAAAGAATTTGTGACATTATCTAAATTACTTTAGCCTTCAAAATCTACATCTAAAATGTGGCTCAGAATTTACATTTCTACTAGATGCTTTTTAAGGTCAGAAATTAAACTTTCAAGTAATTTGCATCCCATTTTTTCTGCTGCTCTACATTCTGAATTTTTTGTGTCCAAACATCTTGCTAAGCAAGATTATACTGTTCATACTAAGCTTAAATTGAACTCAGCCTTCATAAAGCAACTTAATGGAAACTGGTGCTCCTAATAAAAGCTCTTGAGACAAAATCCCAAAGATAAAGAATCTCTGTCCTTCAAATGACAAGCAATGATACCATGAAAATGTTTAAACCCAACAGTGAACTTCAATTACATGAATGCAGAATATCAAAAGGAATAAAAGGGTCTTAAAAGAACTTTCTATGAAAGATATCCTGGGAACCAGCCAACAAAGGGAAAACACCACAGTTAACTATCTGTAAGGCTGAGATTATGTTAGTTTACTAGTAACTAGTGCCAACTGTTCTTCAAAACCAATAAAACATGATTTAGATTCTGGAAATAATATTTTTACAAGTTCATCCATCTAAATGAGAAAAAACACACTCAAATCTTATTACTCACTTGCCATTATCAAGGTGCTGTTGATAATGGCAGCAGGAAGAACAGAAAAGAAAGAACACAGTACTGTATTAACTGATGGGTCCAACAAAGAACGAAAGCAACATGCTGGTTTGTAGTGTAGACTGCAATTTAAATCATGTTTGTGTAAATAGCTGGTGGGCTCTGCACATAAAAGGACAAGCTGTCCATGAAAACATTAACATATAAGAAAAATACTGATAAGATACATACATCTATGTTCACCTAACAGATATGCTATCTTTGAAAATCAAATTTAAATAAAATAAGCTAAGTTTTATGGTTTTCTACTATGGAATTTTTAATCTGATTTTTTTTAGGCAGGATAACGTATATCACTGTTGGAAATTAACAAAATTAAGCAACGTATAGGCAGGAATTCACCATTATTATGTCATGTTCTACAATGTGCAGCACTTAAATACATCATTCAGCATATTTTTAACTAAAATGTCTGAAGGCTGATTTTCAAAATAAAATGTCACTTTTAAAAAGTGTTTTAAATGCAAAATAATGTGGAAAAAAGTTAAGCTACAATGAATAACATGATTTAGAGTCACAACTTACTTAGGAGTTGAAGGACCTCTTGGCCATGTTCCATCCTCATTCTTCTGTTCTATCACCAGTACCTACCACAAAAAGCGTAATAAGAAAACTGAAATAAAAGTATCCGTAGATTGCTTTCTGTTCCAATCTTTTTAATGGATGTGCTGACATGTGCTGGAGACAGAAAAGACTGATTGTTTAAGTTACTATTCCCTGAGGTTCATAAAGGTTCCATTCAATTATACTGCAGCTTCCTCTTCCTTTATTCACTTCTCTCTCGCCACATCTTAATTTGTGCAAGTTCGGGCAAACCACTTAATATTTCCCTGTCTCAACAATCCATAAATAAAATGGCAAGACCTTACCTCTCAAAAAGGTCAGAAGACAACCTGCAGTATTTAAACAGCATCTATGAATCTAAAAAGATCTTAAAATGGCCTGTTAAGGAAGGGATATTCCTGAAGCAATTTTGCAAATGCAAACCAAACTTTTTTCTGCCTTGGTAACCTTAAAACCATACCGGTCTGGTTACCCCTTTATTTTTTACAAAAGCATTATCCTAATACTTCTTTTCCAATGGGACAGTTGGCTAATCAAATTAATTTTACTCAAGTTGTTATTGGTACAAAAGAGAGTACAGAACACTTAGTCCTGAACAGAGGCATCAAGTGCCATTTGAAACGCCTTTGGGTATTTGAGAAATCTGCCCTATGCTGGCAGATATGACACAGGACCTACAAAAAGCTCATGCCTTTCTGGATTGACAGCTGGGATAGCCAGATCATTTGAAATGGCAACTAGATTCCAGTATTTAAACTGAATCCAACTCTTAATTTCCAATGAAATTAATTCTGCGTAACTGTACACTGATGTTTCAGGACACTAATTAACTGCCGTGCTATGCTTGTGTGTGTCTACACAGTGACATACACTCACAAAACCTTTACGCTCAAAACCTTACACAAGTCATGCTGCCTCTTGAAGATGTAACCCCATTTTCAGCCTGAATACACTAAGACATGACACTGAAAACTATCCTTCTATCATGACCAGCCTTCTGTCTGGAAAAGAGTATTATGTTATCTTTGTTCATGAACTCTGTAAGACAGATTCTGCCATATTTTCTTCCACTGGCTCTCAGAGACAACTAAGTAAGAGGAAGATTTACACTTAAAAGTTCAATGGAATCCCTACAGGCTCGGCTCACTTCAGAAACCAAGTGATAAATTCAAAACAGTAACTTCTTCACATACATAGTTTGGAATTACAGAGTGAAAAACAATGATTAGGTTAGACAGACAGTAATAGTCAGGATAACTATTATTAGATAAGGAAGCTCAGCAGGACAAATAACAACCCTGTGTGTCAGCAGGTACAACTGACCAAACACACATGGTCTGCCATGACATTTAGCATTTTCAGAAACCATGGTTAAACTTGGTTTTGAACAATATTTGTTTTGCAGAAAGTACAGATGTCACCTACAAATCTTTTTATGGCTCTATTAGACCATGCTTGCTTCACAGTTAATGTTTCACTGGGATAGAGGCAATTTGCAAGTTACATCTTTGACGCAAATCTTTTGTGGGAGATGTAGGCTCTTCCAGCAGGACCTCTGCACTGTTAAAATTACCCGTGTGAGAGTTTAGCTTCATGCTGCACACACTTAAAGGGCAAAACAGTTCAAGCTGTTATTTTGGTGCACTGATTACTTACCTTCCATGCCATAAAAGAAAACTGAAGCACAGCATACTGCTGGTAAGTAGGTTAGAGTCAAGTATTTCAAGGCAAAAGGAAATACTTTATTTAATTCAATCTTGCCTACAATTACTGCCATCAAATTTCATCCATTCATATTTGTAGCATGACAGCATGAACTACAGCTGTTGAAACAATCCAGCTATTTGAAGACTAAAGAATCAATGTAATAATCTGAAAAGTTATTCTAACGATGAAATTGTTCAGTCAGTTCACATTTATATTTGTGTAGCTTTAACATCCAATATTTGTTCTTTATATTCATCTGGAAAGGTAAAAAATTATCAAGTAAGAAATAGTCCCATAAAGGGATTTTAACATGATGATACGAGTTGGAGCGAGTGCAGAGGAGGCCACGAAGATGATCAGAGGGCTGGAGCACCTCTCCTGTAATGAAAGGCTGAGAGTTGGGGTTGTTCAGCCTGGAGAAGAGAAGGCTCTGTGGAGACCTTATTGCACCTTCTAGTACCTGAAGGAGCCCACAGGAAAGCTGGGAGAGGACTTTTTACAAGAGCCCGTAGTGATAGGACAAGGGGGAATGGGTTTAAATTGAAAGTGGGAAGATTTAGATTGGATATCAGGAAGAAATTCTTCACAGAGAGGGTGGTGAGGCACCGGAACAGGTTGCCCAGAGAAGCTGTGGATGCCCCATCCCTGGAAGTGTTCAAGGCCAGGCTGGATGAGGCTTTGAGCAACCTGGTTTAGTGGAAGGTGTCCACGCCCATGGCAGGGGGGTCGGAACTACATGATCTTTAAGGTCCCTTCCAACCCAAACCACTCTGTGATTCTATGATACAATCTCATGCTAAAGCAGTTTTCAAGCTCTTTTGTATCTATACTTATTATCTGAAATACTTTCATTTTTTTCATAATTTCTTTCTGCAATCTGGACAGTGGAATTTGAGTAGAAGATATTAGTCTTTTAGAGTACCTAAAAAGTTTTTCAAAAATACAATCAAAGACTACTTTTATTTTGATGAATTTGTTCACAAAACCTTCTATCCCTAACACAATCTATTAGGAGGCAGTTTTCATTTTAAAAGAAGGAAAATTAATTTGGTACAGCTACATTTTCATGAGTAAAAAAATTAACGTATTAAAAATAATAATATTACAACAACGTACCTGTCCCTGGTATAAACCAGCATCCTGTATGGTGCTGTCTGGTTTATTCAGAGGTTCAAAAGTATTACTCATGTATTTGTTCCACAATCTGGTCTCTTTTTCACCTGGAATATTGAAGATTTTCCTTATCTCTTTTTCAATTGTATCTGTTTTGAAAGAGAACACAAGTTTAGCATTTCACTACACAAACAGTATAAGGCCAAAGAACGCATCAGTATCGCCTACTTTTTTTAGATTCAAAATATGAATGGAACTGTAGAAATAGCCATGCAACTACATCACGTTGTAAGACAAGAACAAAGTTGCTAGTTTGCTCACCTTTAAAATACAGTCAGAGGACTATTTTATTCCCTCCTGAATCTCTTAGCAAAGCAAACCAAACAAAGATAAGTTGATAAATAGAAGATAACAGGAGGTACCTTGGGTGCCCATCTACTAATTTCTCAGAGTGTGGCTGGGTAGGGAATGATTAGAAGTGAGACTGGCAGCAAAACCAGGTATATGGAGTGCAAGTCAGCCTGTTCCTCTCCCCTAAATCAAACCTATTTTGGTTTTTACTCTTCTACTACCCATATCCCAGTTCAATTAGCACTAACTACAATATACATGCATAAGCTTTAATTTACATGCTTAAGGAAATTAAAGACTACTCTGTAAAACTGAAGCACATAGATTTATTTTAAAAGGATAATGAAAGATTTCACATCCCTGAAAGATTTAACATAAAAAGGTTTACCAGCTCCTACTCTACCTGACAGAAATATAGTGTTATGTAATTTTAAAGTAGTGTAACTACCTATGTCTACAACTGAAGTTTAAGAAGCTAATTAACTCCATTCTCCTTATGCAAAAGCAGAGTTTATTAAAGAGTTCTTTAATTTGAACTAATATGTACAGTGCTATACTGTAACAACCTTACTTTGATTTTTTTTAGACTGGTACATTCATAAAGCCCCGCAGCAGCCAAGTCTCATAAGAGCCAACACAGAACAAAACCAGGACTCAAGAAATGTCCAGTTTAATCCTGATGAGCACTGAAAACACAATTATAAAAATGGGCACTTTAAGCTCTTTTAAAGACATTTCATTGAAGTCTCGGGATAAAACATCAGCGTGACAGCACCCCTAACATTCCTGTTGTTCTCTTTTATTTTTTATTATTTTCTCTTCAACTATGTTAAATATGAAAAATCAAAATTAGACCTGAAGCTTTAACAATACATTGTAAAAATACAGCCATTGGCTTGTGAAATGCCTGGCAACTAGCCAATATAATATTTGTAGATATTGTGGGCAATGGAATCCAATTTCCTTCTATACTATTTAGCACACATTTTAGTATGAAAGCAAGTGTTAGACTGGATCATCTGTTTCTGTAACAGAGATAATATGTAGGCAAGATAGTTGCTATAAAACAAAGCAACAGGCTGTTACTTGATTTGTTGACTTAAAAAAAAAAAAATATCATGTACTGTCTGAATCGGTTCTCAACCAATGTCTTCAAGTAACTACATTAGAATGTAAGAATGAATTCAGTCTGCAGCAATCAATTAAAGTTCTTTTACATACTTCAATGAACGTAACCAATGCACACTTTATAATTCTCCCCCCACACCCCCAGCAAGTATCACTGAAGTGATATGGTATGAAGGCTTATGATCTGAAGCGAAGGTGCCCATTCCAGTATAAATGAAAACACTACATTCCAATAGGTGTGCTCTGAGGCATACTGTGTACAGGCTTCTCCCCCGGCAGTGTTATACACATCCCATGTATGAGATGATTAGTATTAGGACGATGTCTAAAAGAGACAGGAAGAACTGCCCTTTAAAGATGTCTCTCACTCCATCAGCTATATAGCCACAATTTGCAAGAGTTATATCCCATATAGGCTATAACCTGTGTCATTAAAAACCAGAGAGCTCCTCAACAGAGAAAAAGCTGCACGATTTAAGTACTATTTTGCAAGACTACATGGAAGAGCCTCGATGAGATGCTGGCAAAGTCCAGTGAATCCTCATACAAGCAGACCCTGACTACTAAGGGCTAGCGCTATCACAAATACTGACTAAAGAAACTGCAGCAAAACGTTCATCTGTACTAAGAAACAGTAATCCCAGCTTCCTAAAGAAGGGAAAGACTAGTCACAGATCCCAGAATAAATTGTCCTCAAAGGCAGCAAGTTTTACGTTCCTGTATTCTGCAGCAAATTAAAGGGAAAGACGAATCAAAGCCATTTGCCAAGATAATTTACTAGCAGAAGCCCATCAGATGCAGAGCCACTGGTGTAATCTTCTATAAAGTTTACCACCTCAGTTTTGGAGTTGTTTTATGGTATTGCACATACAGCCTGGCTCCTATTTATCTGTAACAGAGGTTACAGACAGTCTGTCGTTTTGTGGTTTGCAACATTTTTGAATAAAGGCAGAAAAGGCCTACATACACGTTGGCTAAAGAATTAGTTTTATCTTACCTTCATGTGATTAATGCTCCTGAATGGATCATGAACTCATTTTCACTAGAAGCCCTGATGCTCTCTAAGATCAGCAACAATAACTAGGCTGAAATGTTACTTGAACTACATTTGTTGTTCAGCTGATTTGGTTTTTACAATTTAAAAAAACACCCCCACCCCCCAAAGAGTTAATCAGTCTCAAAGTTAATATCCACTGCCTCTATGGCAACAGTCCTCAATCGCTTGATACTCCCAAGAAGTTACAAAGAACACATTAGCTGTGTCCAGTACCACCCCAAGAAAATGTCATTATTAGGTCTGTTCTTTATAATTATTTTTTCCTTCCTTGTACAATTTAATGACATACGGATTAGCATAGGTTCTATTTCAGTGGAAAAGCAATGGTATTCCAGGAATAACACACATCTGAAGACTGGTAGGTGAATATTATATTGTGCATAGAATATTTAAGGTGCTTCAAAATGTTATGTGAATTAAGGAAGTTCTTTTACTGATCTTCAGAGGGCAGTAAATAATACAACCAATGATGGTGGGTACAAAAACTAGAAGTTCTTGAGAAGACCATGTCCATTGATGGGGCTGATACTGACTCTTTTGTACTACAAGTTCTCTACAACCATAATGAAAATGCATCCCTTACTGGCATATACAAGAAGGGTGAAAAGTAGTATCCATTCTGTAAGATTCCTCTTGCATATTATTTATTGATATAATAAATATTTCTACTATATATCTCGTGAATACCAGAATTACCTTAAATCTACTTAAGGTAAGGACTGGGGTGGGGGGGGTGGGGTGGGGAAGAAATCACCATCTTACTAATGGATGATAGAAGAAAAACCTCAAGGATCAGCTCATTTTTCACTCTAAAAGTGGTTTTAATTTTTCTAGCTCATCTTTTAAGTTGCACACTGTTTTTGATGTCCTGGCTAGGATGGCCTCAGCATAAGCAGATTTAGAAAGGGTGTGTTTTTAAGGCTTCCAAGAGCACGTCATTCACATCTCAGGAAAAGAAACAAGGCCAGTGTCTGGAAAGGTGTTGCCAGTGACCCTGACTGTTTCTCATTACCCCTTTATGACTATTTGCTGGCAATAGTAATTCTCTGCTAAAAAAAAAATATGAATACACCTCCAAATAATAGACATTCCAAAATGCCCTGCTTCTGAGTAGAGAAATAAAATATTAGAAATTCATCCATCACCTATAATTCTCATGATAAAATTAAATTCAGCATAGCTGCAAAGCAGCTTGTATTTGGTCCTCAGGAAGGGATAACATTAAATTGTTTTTAATAAGTTTCTGGGTTTGCTTAGAGAATAACAAAGTACATCATCTCAAGTTAAACTAGATCTCAAAAAGCCAATTAACAGACAACAATGAAGCCTTGTTTCAAGGACAAATTTAATAATTTCGACGTTTTTATTCTAAAACAAGTAGATGATTATTTCTTTAACTTAAAGATTAGCATTTAAAGAAGTTAAATGATGCCGTTTTTAAAGCAAGCAATCTGCAAAGAATTAAAGTGTAGCAAGTATAAGTCACTACCCATAATGTGAAGAAAAGCAAAACCTGAAAAAAAAAAAAATACACTGCTGTCAGAGTGTAAACAAAGAGTAATGGCTGGGTATAAAGTGCCAAGGGTATAAAGTACAACTCTAACTGCACAAATAAAGCTGATTGAAAGACTCATATCTTGGATACACATGCAGAAATACACCAAAAGCTGAGTTTAAAGGATCAGAAATATCTTTGCATATGTTCCGATTGTTATTTTCAGAGACAAATGTTATCGTAATAGTATGTTTTCAAACAATTTCAAACAAAACATTGTTTTCAACAATGCTCAAAGAACAGCCGAAATAATTACTAATAAAGATAAGTTAAAGGTTTATTACAGTTACCGTAAAAGATCGTGCCTGGTCTGCCACTTCACAACCCAAAGAATACTGCCTTTGTAGGTCACCTTTAGCCATTAATTTATAAAATCAACTCTTTCTTGTGTTTTGCAATATATCCTTCTCTTTATATATAGGACTAAAAAGTGTTGGGTAATGAAAGATGTGAATGGAAACACATTAAAAAAAAAAAATATATATTTCTTACACACCAAAACCCAAGAAAAAGTATTGGGGAATCCAGTAAAGATAACATGAAAAACATCACATTGTTCACTTCCTGAAAAGCACAAACCTCTAGAGTAAACACAGATGTCTAGATAATAAAACCCACAATTATTTAAAGTTGTATTAAAATACTAAATATTCCAAATAGTTTAACTTTTAATTTTGACCCAAACAAGTCTAGTTCCATCCTTTTTAATGGTTACAATACCCTTCTATCATTTTTACCCAGAGACTTATTTATTCAGAACTTGCCATCAAGTACTATTTAAACAAGTTACAATCATATATTTTAAAAAACAGTTGTGCATACCTATGGTATCAGCTTTACTAAATCTTCGTGTGACAACATTGTTCATATTTCCATTTTCGCAGAGCTTTAGTTCTGTTAGATATACTTCTACTTTGCAGTGCTTTACAAACATACCCTGTTCAACGACCTGAAAAACAGATTAGGATCAGGTGTCAGTCCAAATAGGTTTTCATATACACACTTCAAAATATTTTTGAGAACTCTTCAAGAAACTGAAGTTCAGGGAATGCAAGACACTTAATAAACCCCCAAAATTAGAACTAAAATTCTCCTAGAACTTTTCAGAAACACAGCAAACAAAAAGTAACTTTTTCCAAGATGATGACGATGTTTTACCTATAATACCACCACCTCCACAACTTTCAAAGTGTAAAGTACAGTGGAAATCACATATATGCACACTTAATCAAACAATAAGATACTTGATCAAAAGATAAAACACACAAAGTTATTTTTACTTTAAAATACATCAGTTGTATACTACCACCTCAAAACATGAAGAGCTAGTTTTCACAGTTAAAGAATACTTAATCAAAACCAGAATACACACTAATAAAATCTGGATGTCACATTTTTAAACAAATCCTGTATTCAAACAAGACCTACATATCTTCCACTTATAATCCAATAATGAATAAATTCATTTGAAATGTCACTTATTCATTACAGTTGTTCATGTTCATTTTTATAACAACTATTGCAAAATAGGTAACTATAGAGGATTATTTTTTTAAAATAAAACATAGAAAAAAAATATTCAGGGTCACCTCTTAAAATGTTTTTACCTTTGATCTTCCAAAGTGTAACTGCAGTACTCAGTCATGTAGACTGTTCCGAAAATAACTATCAGACTGATACGTGATACATCTGACAAATACGGTAAGAAAAAAAGCCACCAGCTAATTGCTAGGAGAGATCTGCTGTCTGCTGTACAAATATAACTCGTATGCATGTGCCATATGAAAAAAGAAAATTAGTGAATGATTTCATTGCTGTTCAGTACTTTGCCTCAGCTTTAATGACTGCCAACCATGACATTTCAATAAAAATGCATTTTAATTTGAGCAGCTTACTAGGGTTTTCAGCTACTAAGAGTAACAACAAAATAGTTGCAGTAAACAAAACTCTGCGGTATGGCTAAGACATTTCTGAGAATAAAACTGACACTGTAGTGGTAGTACTACCCCCTCCTATTACATAAATTCATAATTTTATTTGACATGGATCAAATTCAACATTTTATCAATTTAAAATTTAGATCCACATTTCAAAATGTTCATGTAACAAAGAGGATGACAGAAAATCATCTCACCTCTGTGAAAAAACATTAGGGCAGATAGGAGAAAGAATCATGAACAAATTACAAAAGCATCAGAACCAAAAATTCTGAACTGAATATGCATTTCAGAGGATAAATACTGGTCATCATTGCAGAAAATAAAGAAGCTATGGCAGTTTACCTGGCCACTCATTATACTCCATGTATTTTTCCAGTTAATTCTGTCAAGTAGAAGGCAAGGTAATCTAATTTCCCTTCTCTCTCCTTTCATTTTCCTCCCCAAAGTGAAAAATTACAGCACTTGTACTTTACCATGATGATGGAAGAGCATTCAGTTTGCTGAAATCCATCCTCAGGAAAAACAGTAACAAGTTGATAACATGTATCTTTAAAGAAGGAGAGCCATTTTAATGGATTTCAGCTCTTACAGAACTGGAGAAAAAGAAAGAGACATTCCAGGGATGTCTCTTTAAAAGATGATCTCTTTTACTGTATTAAAGAGAATGTTATAAAACCCCAACAAGCTACTTCTGTTGCTGACTAAACGAATCTTGAAGACATATAATTTCTTCTGTAGCTGTATTTTGCGTTTGTTTGATAGGAATGCACTTCAAGTAAGTGGCCAGCATGCACGTAGTTAAACCATACTCACATCACAGGAGAAGAAAAAAACAAAGTTATATTACACCAGAAGTCCTATCAAACTAAATTCTAACTATACATTCTTCCAGCATTTTTTTAGGAATTAAAATAAAGATCCCTGTAACTGAAAGAATATGCCTCAATGGTCAATTTATAAACGGCAAAAATACCAACATGTATTTTGGAATTTAAGTAATTCAGTCCAGTGAGGATGCAACTATAATCACTAATCTGAAAATCTTAATACAAACACAAAAGATTATAAACTGGTAAAATGTCGTATCACCTTAATAATAATGCTGTGTTCTGAAGCAAACAAAAGTTAACATAAGTTAGGTATGTATTTGGTACTGACAGAGGGCCACAGTATCCACCATACCATGCACTACTACTTGTGTGGAGGTAAGCTTTAAGCTTAAAGAAAAAAAACTCCCTTAGCATGCTGCTGAACACAGAAGACTCTGCTCATCAGAAAAAGAACTACCAATTACCCTGCCACAGTTAACATTATTAGAGCTAGGCTTTTCACTAATACACTTAATACAGTTTTAGGGTTTTACATTTAGAAGCTTCTAAATGATTTTGTAATTAAGTCTATTAATGCAAACCAAGTTGTTCTTGGAATATTAAAGGGCTTACTACCAGGGGGGAAAAAAAAAAAGTATTATAACCTTTGCATCCTCATTTCTCAATATTAAAAACTTAAGCCTCTAAAATCTGAACAAAAATTAGATATCTATAAGCACCTAAAGCAGGAGTTGTCTATATGATTATCACATAATCAGGAAATATCATATAATCAGGGCAGGACATAACATTCTAATAAATTCCTGTGCACCTCCTGCATATTTGCAGGACTATATCTGAATCATATTCATCCCAGTAGATGATGTAAAAGTACCTTGCGTGCTATTGGTTCTTGACCTTCCATCAGTGTGTACCAGCTAACTAGCCTATTCCAGCCTTCAGTTGGCAAAAGGATGTAGTCCAGCTCGTCAATGAGATGCTCCTTGAGAGACTGAGAATCACCATCTATAGGAGAAAAGTATTTTTATTTGAATATGGTAATTCTGTTACTTGAGTTTTTAATTTAACATTTTTCACATAAATAGCAAACAAAATATTTTCGGAGTCGCAGTTATGTTATCACTATTAAGGTGCTGAAAGTAAAACTCTTCAGAAAACCATTTAGGCAAGCTATCCAGTTCACACAGAGCACACCTATTAGAGGTACTGTTCCTACACTCAGGAACCCAAGTGACCACTCCATGTTCTCACGCAATTGTAAGCGCCTAACTTGTTATCCCACATCATCATAGCCTTCAGAAAAACCAATCCATTTCTCCACCCACTTGGAACTTATTCCCACATCACCATGGATACTTCCATTTCATGCTACAGCTGCATACCTCACTGAAAATGGAAAAAATGAGTAGTTAAAGTAGATCCAAGACAAAGTTCAAAGTCATTTACTCCATGTCAGACTGGGAAAAAACATGGTACAACCCTCCTACTTAGAAAACCCTACACACTCTGGAAACACAGTCCCTAGAAAATTCTTCACAGGGACAGCAAGATGCAGCACTTGAAAGAAAGTAAAACCTGCCCACCTCTTCACATACATAGCACGCTTTTAGCTTTGGTTCAATCCTTATTACAGCAGTAAGATAACAGCTAGCCTATATGGGTAAGAGGTGATTCCAGATTGGAACCCCTGTGAGCCTCAGACAATTAGGGCAGATGCCTTTCTATTCAGAAGTACCCAACTACAGGCCAGCAAGCATCCCTCTGTAGAGAGACAGACAGATCAAACAGGGCAATCCACGCATTCAACTCCAAAGAATGAATCGGGATGACAAACTTAATGAAGTATGCAAATAAACAGACTATGTATAAAGAATAAATAGACTAATAAATACACAGTCTATTTATTTCCAGTCCTATGTGAATGAACTGCAGAATTACAGCGCACAATTAAAACTGAGCATAAAAGTAAACATAAATAGTCTGAAATTGCTTCAAGTATTGGTCTTCCTCTTGGATTTTCTTTTTTTTTTTAATGCAATACTTCTAAGTCAAATGAATACTGTTACCTTCATTTTTCTGCAAGGACAAAAGTAAGTGTGCACTATGTGCATATGAAAAACACTAATGTCCTCTCATTTGACCATATTTCTGTACTTCTGTTTCTCCTGTGTACAGATTGAGCAAATACAGCATAATGTGACTTCAATTAAAAAACACTATCCCGAGCATTCCAAAAGACACACTTAAAAATTAAAGATCCTTTAATAATAACAACTATTCAAAATTTTTTTTAATAAGAATTTAACAACACGTTTCAAAATTACCTTTTCTGTAGCAGGACAATACTACTGAGGACATTTAAGACTCTTCATGGTGGGAAGAATAAATAAGATTCAGCTTACCAAGATTTTAGAAATCTCCCTACTCTACCTGCACTTGCTATGCCTTCAGTTGGTTTAAAGAGTTTGAGATTATAAGGAAAAATATGAGGAAAAAAGCAATGCTTTTTGCTTTAATCATGCAAATGGTGAAAATACGGGCAAAGAAGGATGCACAGCTTTCTTCCGTTCCTAGTATCTTATCACTGGCGCTGCCTCACGTGCAAGCAAAACATGGGTGATGCATATTGTTCTCTGTTCATGTATTTAAAGTGTGCAATATTTATTACTACCATTAGTTGCTCAGAGATGACAAAAAGATGCTGTTTCCATAACATGCAATCTGTGCAGTGCAGAGATGACTTCAGGCAGTCAAGAAGGTACAATACGGTTTGCATGCATCTTCTCTGAGAAGAACTGCAAATGACTTAGTAGGAAAAGCTAAAGAAAAAAACCCTGACACCACCAAAATCCCCCAGATACAGTCAAGTAAGTATTAGAATGATGAATTTATTTTAGAAGAGGGGATAATTAAGTTCAGAAATAGACAAAGTATTTGTTGCAATTTTAGCGAGAAAAAAACACAACATCACAGAAGGCAACAAAGAAGAGTAGAAGACGACCTCAGATTTGGGATTCCACTTTGGGAGCTATAGTACATACATTTCTTGAGCAAAAAGTAAAATGGAATTTTGCATGAACATCTCAGTGAACATACGGGTAAATAAGAATTTAGTTCCTCAGGAGATAGAAATTATTGTGACCTAATAAATGAGACTTCAATCAATGCACCCATTTAAAAAGTACTTTCCCTTTTTCCCTTCAGGCTGTTTCATCCTAGCTGTAAAAGTAACAATTTTCAGGAGTCAAATTTTGGTTCAAAAACTTTCTTGACTGATTAGGAAACAAATCTATACTCAAGAGCTATACACAAAAATTTACTGAAATAATTCACAACTTGCGCTGTCAATCCGTACTTGGCCCACTCAACTCCCAACGTTTTTCATAGTATAATTTTTCCATCAAAGAAGTCCCGTGAGTCTGACGGCTCAGTCCCACGTATAGAAAACCATTTTCTATGATGAAAAATGAGCTAGTCTAAACAACTACTTCCTTGTGCTTGCTTTGCTAATCTGAAGTTGACTGTGTATCTCTTCTTTTGAAGATGGTACGTGTGCATTCCACTGCATTCAGCGTATGTTGAGATTAGCCAAAATCTCTACCTGTTGCTTTTCACTGCTCTCACTTAATCCAAATATTCTGGAAACAAGGGAGCAGCATTTAAGTAATATAAGCACAACATACTGCTTCAGTTTCCTGGAATCTGTCTTTCTTGAATTTAATAATATTTTTCCTTATCACTGCATTACACTGCAGAATATCTGAGAAAGCACGCCCATTTTAGATTACTTTATTCTTTGTATCAGATGCAAATTTTCAGACAACACTTAAGGATAATGCTACCAGAGCAGCTAGTGACTACTACATACCAAAGAAAGGATCAAAACCCAAGCATTTTCAGATTCAACCTATGCTACATTAGAAACCTAGCACCGAGGATCACTGCTCTGCAGCAGGTGGAGACAGCTACTATTTGCTGAGCACTAATGCCCTTAATTTTAAAAGTGCCTTCACACAGGAACAGTAGATGTCAGGCAGTAATTGGATGCGTGGTATCGCTGCCAATGCAGAGCCATAGTTTTAGAGAGCCATGAATAAGCAAAAACCTAAGTTCATAAACCCCGATGCTTGTTTATTCTGAAAGGGGTATGGGCAGCATCAAAACAACACAATGCAGGTTTTCAGAAGCTTTTAGGAAAATGGCTAGAATTACTCTAGATTTGGACAGCTAACTAATACAGGCTTCATATCCACAGTTACTTCAAACATAATCTGAACATGTATGTAGATTAAGTTATAAATAATACAGATAAACTAACACAGTGCTTTGCACATCTAGAAATCACCTTTTATTTTTAAGTGAGTAGGTACAGAAAAGAAAATGAACTGATGCTGCCTCACTAAGAATAAAAAGATCTTGCCACCTCTGATTTCAACTGAAAAGTATCACCTGAACATGCCTGTCTCGCTGCAAGATTCGATACAAGAATGTACAAAAGATCTAGATCCTCACATTTCAGAAAACGAAACATGACACTCACCTGGAGCAAAAAGACCTTTAAATTTGTGGATGGAAAAGCACATATAGATGCTTTCTTCAAAGGCACTGATACTAGTCACTGTCAAGCATGCATACTCACTCACACTGACAGCTAGTGCGACGTGGTATGTCAAGTCCTATGAGGGGCAATCATCTTTAACTTGTAAAATAATGAGGTATTAATTACAGTTAAAAAGTTTTGAATTAATAAAGTCAGAGTTCATCATAAATCCCATGGTTGTAAAAATTTCTATTATTACATGCAAACAAATAATGCAGTACTATCACATTACCTGCAACGGCAAAGGAGGAAACCAATTATTGGCTAAATTTCATATTGACTAGATTTTGCAGATTAAATATTAACAGCTCTAATGGTATTTCAATACAGGACATTAAATACAGAATTTGACCTAAAGATTAAAATATCTGAGAAAGTATTCAGAGATCTGTGTCCACAAATCTGACTACAGTTCAGCAAAAGCCAATCAGACCTGAGTAATTACAAGAGTGACAGAGTTTAATCATACTTAGATACATTTCAAACCATTTTATATTATCCCTGAACCACATATGTTCCAGAATCAAAGACCTTGGGGATGATTTACAAAAAGGAAAAATAACTTAGAGTTCCAAGTTAAAAATGTTATATTAAATCAACCAATTTACTTAAGCTAAAAATAAATCTTAAGTGAACTCAGGCTAACTACTTGTCAACTTGACTAAATTTCAATTTCCAAGGTATCTCAAAATATCAGGATAAACCAGTAATTTGTACATCATTATTAAAAATTCTGTAACCATTGCAAAGAAGTTTCACTAATTTTATTTATAAAACTATAATTTGTTAGGGAAATGTATGCCAGTTCCCTTGTCACAATGTGAAAACAAATGAAGAGTTCACCTTCATAAATGCTGATATTCATTTACACTACCAACTACAAAAGATGAACCCCTGACATATTTGCATTGAACGTTAGCTTTGGTTTAATACACAATCAGAAGCAGTTACCTTTGAGAAGTCCAGAATTATCAATAGGACCAGGGTACACATTCTGATCTCCCATCTGGTATTTGTCCCAGCTGTCAAAACCAACATATTTTTTCCACTGTTTGAACCAGCGACTATCCACTAGATACCTTAAATGGAAGAAGACATACACATTCATTATTGGCATGCTACTACTTTCTAAAGCACCAATTAATTCATATGAATGCACTTGTATCCATCAGCCTTCTAAAATGGAGAATGTTTTTCTGTCTGGTCTGCTAACCATTACCAGCATCTCTTACCAACAAGGACTTTAATTGTGGGCAAGTAAAGATCCCACTAATCACAGTGACCAAATACACTTTTGCAAGACTACCAATACAGCATATCAGAAGTTGAAGAATGGCAAGGTCAAAAAACATTTCCCTTTCAAGCATGAAATACCATCAGGTTTAATTCCTGTTCTCCATTTGTAAATTCAAGTGATTCAAGATAAAACTTTACAATTAGACAGCCCTTTAAAAATTGAGAGATAGCTTTTAGTAAAATATTTTTTCCTGCTGGAGTTTTATTTATAACATTCATAGGCAAGCAGAAAAACTTACAAATTCTGATGTCCTGTCAAGAACCAGAGTCTTAGTGTTTTCTTCCTTTGAGTCAGCATCAACACATACAGTAAATATTCTGCTTTTGAGGCAGTACTAGATGTTCCTCCCACACATACTTATCAAATCCACACTTTCGTATACAGGAATATTTCTAAACTCAGCTCCACAGTATTTCTACCCAGATTAAACTGTTGCCAGTCTGGCTTTTACCAAGTCCAACAATACCTGTATCTTTTTGTCCTGAATTTCTTTAAGATGCCAAATTTGTGCAGTGATCCTCAGATTTAAATTATTTTTTAAAGACACTACCTTCATTATTTCTCTCTCCTAAATGTATCGATCCACTTCTGTTTGGTCTGTACCAACCCTTTTGCTACTACCCTAGTATATGTCAGTATGCCAGAATATCCCAATAAGGTAAAACTAAGGACCATAGGTAATCCTCATTCTTTTTTCCAGTATTTGACTACTGAACTCTTATTTGCAGCATACCAGTAATATGCTACTGAACCTTTAAGACATCTCAAAACTTCCTGGTGACTTAAATACTAGTCTGCTAATACATACAGCTTTATTAGGCAATCATTCTGTAGGAGTTACTCATGAAAGCCATGGAAAACACACAGAAGAAAAACCTTAACACAATTCATGTAACCAAACAAGTACAAAAAACCTGAACATATTTTAATGAGTAGGTTTAAAAAAAAATATATATTAGCAGGGCCTTAATTTGTGCTTCTAAATCATGTAACTACAATAAGAATTAACAAAACTAAGATGCCCAAGTCTTAATTATTTCATCTTCCCAAATCCAGTTTTTCTTACACACAGAGATCAAGCCAGGAGTCAGCCTCCAGAAGTACTGCTAGCAAACCTCTGGTAAAGAAGGAATTACTACTGAGCAGTACTCCATAACTATGATCCTTTGTAGTCAGCTTCTCAGCTTCTCTTCTCAAATAGCCCTAATTTTTCAGTTTCTACAGAATGTACTCTTAAGAGTATAAATCTATAGGTAAAAGTCCTTTGGAAAGTAATAGGAAGGTGGCATCAGAAAGGTATACGTAAGATCACCACAGGCTTTTGGATGCTTACTTCCCCTATGTGCCTTCAAGGACACCAAAGACTAAGGTCTAACAACATGCATGACAACAGCACCCTAATTCACATGGCAAACAGTCTTGACTCAAAATACGATTACTTCAACAGTAATAATGAGTCTGTACTAGCCTTAGCTTGTAACTACCCTAAGCAAACATACATAGCAAAGGCAGAGATGTCTCAGCTGCTGCAGGCAAGAACTTAGGTCAGGGACCAAATTTCTCCCTTACTGCACAAATGCCAGCCGTACTCAGGAGCATCTTGACCACCTCACAGTGTAACATCTGGTCTCGTATCCTCTCTACTACCACAACCTGTTACTACTGCTACGAGTCATCAACTACTACAACTTACTATGTCTTCCAAGAGTTTCCGTATGCAACTTTGTCCTTGAACTTGTACACACAATTTCTTTCTGAAATTTTAAGCACTTAACAAAGCAGTCAGAAAACAGCCTCAATCTTCTTTTTGAACCGAAACTGTACATTAAAAAAAAAAATTAATTTTAAACTTTTTAACTTTTTATAAACTGAAAGTCTTTTTCTGCAAAAATGACCGTTTCCACTCAAACTGAGAAACAGACAGTGACTTATTGGGGTGTTTTGGGCACAACGCATCCCACCAAATTGGTAATGAAACGGCATGGTTGAAGTCCTATTCCAGAAAGATGAGATACTAATTATTATTATGATTTTATAACACTGAATCATTCTAAAGTAGCCTGGCCCAGCACTGATTATTTCAGTTTTGTGGCAAAATCCCACTGGCATGTTTTGTTTAGAACATGTCTAGAATGTAATAGGAAACAAAACTGGACAAGGCTGAACTGCATTAAAGATGGCGATATTTGGGATAAAACACAGTAAAACAATAAAAAAGGCATGCTATTATGAAAATAAACAGATTTAAATTTTGTTAATTCTGGAAAAAAAGGTAAAATTTATCTATTTTAAATCTGAGGAAGTTCCAGTCCCACACATTTCACACTTCAAAAATCAAACTCATGCAGTTAGAACACAGATTTCTCAACCACCTTCCATTGTCTATACTGTTCAGTGATCTGCACTACCTAACAAAGCAATGCGCTTCCCAAAATAATTCAGATTCTTGTGTACAGAACACCTCTTTTTACAATTTTACGAGTAAAGACACTGTCCTATGTAAAAGCCTTTTCTGAATGTAATTTTACAGGTTCTACTAAAACAGTAGCAGATTTAACAATCAGCACAGAAAAACCTATGAAACCATAAACCTGAAAATGGGTGTGCAATTAAATGGGGACAACTTCCACCACCAAAACTGACCAGCTTGTGAAAACATGTAATTTAATGTTTGGTATTATCACTTGTTTAAAACAAGCATTCTATTAAAAACAAACAAACAAAGGACTGTATTTTTTAAGCACCAGAGGAAAGCAAAGATACAAACTTTGAAGCTTGAAAAGTCCCTTCAAAACACCGTTCTTGCCACCAGCCAATAGACAGAGAAAGTGAAGCAAAGTCATAACAGCACCCTAGTATGCGTTAAAATATTTGGTTTGTTACTAGAAGCTTTCAATTATATTTTTACTATAATAAAATCCTAAACAATACTGCATCAGGAGGAGAGAAAACACTTTAACAAATTAGTTTAAATTTTATAGAGATAACGTGCTTCCTTTGCTACAATCAAGTCAGGTGCAGATGTCTTCAGACATGAGAGGGTGGGGTGAGGCACTGGAACACTGCCCAGAGAAGCTGTGGATGCCCCATCCCTGGAAGTGTTCAAGGCCAGGCTGGATGAGGCTTTGAGCAACCTGGTCTAGTGCAAGGTGTCCCTGCCCATGGCAGGGGGATTGGAACTGGATGATCTTTAAGGCCCCTTCCAACCCAAACCATTCTGTGATTCCATGATCTGGCTCAATGAAGTCAAGAATGCTTTTGGAGGCACAGATTCAACAGTGAATGCAGAAAGGTTTTTAAGTGTTTCATCTAACAGATTCTCTATCCAATTCATGCCCAAGCTATGACATATTCATCTATTACCCGGAAATCAGTAGAAGAAAGAGAACACAGCAGATAGAAGCCTGCAATAGGCAATTTAGCCTATTTGATTTAAAGATCACGAGTAAGAATTTAAGAATTCAAACAGAGATAGTTAACTTTAAGAAAGAATAATCAGATCTTTACAATCAAATTTTCACCAAACAATAACTAACTGTTGCAATTAAATTAATGTAATCTTCGGTTTCTGGAAAAGAGAAGCAGACACTAGACTACCATATTATGTTGAATGGAGTGATTTCATTCCATACAGTACATATATAACTGAACATAGAGTCTGATATTAAAGATAATTCTGAGTCTGCCATTACAAGCCTGAAGTTACTATAATTGAATCACTGGTATTTGTGTCTTTTTAAAGTACAAGTAGCAGCAGTTCTTCCCACATTTGCAAAAATGCAGTGCTTTTGCTGTGTCTGTGCGAATCCCAAATCCTTTTACAACAGTGTCTTAATATATTTGACTAATTTTTCTTTAATAAGTGGGAAAAGAGATCCCAAATTTGATTAATCTGATGTACCCTTGCCTTCTGCTTTATACGCAAAGTTTTCAGTCTTACAAACATACTAATGGCAAACAGCATTCTCACCTTTTTCTTCTGCTGTGGCCATCTAGCATTATTCCATAACAGCTGTGTGGTTACGAATGTAGTTACCCTCAGGCATTCAGTCTACCACCAAACCTGCCAGCCTTGTCCCCTACTCCATCCCACAGCCTCTACTTTCTTGATCCATATTTGAATGAATTATGAATCTTACAGAAGGAAGGCTGTAATTTTACACAGAAAGGAAATGATCATATAGGCAAACTGTGCATTGTTTTAATTAATGCTTAACAAATCACTGCTCCTGTAGAACCATATTGCTTTTCAAATGCTTTCTGTTACGTGTTTGATCACACACCAGTAACACAGTGATTAATACAACATTTTGATAATTGGACCTAACAGTGCAATAAAGCTTGGGGTCCACTGTTCTCAATTTTACATGTTCACCATTACCAATTCAACACTTCATAAAGTTTATTTTACCACACCTGATTAATTTTGCCACAAACCAAATTTTGCTCCACAATGTCTCTTTAACAGTTTTCTCTAAATGAAAAATTGTATAATTTCTGCTTCCTAACACATATGCAAGAACATCACTTCTCTTCAAATTTAGGAATTTGTACTTACACGCTCTGATAAAAGATCAATACTTCTAGCATAAAAAAAATTCACAGGCTACCTATAAATCATGGAACTATGTAAGTGTGACAAGAACTAAACAGCATAGACAAGTTCCTTCCCTGGAATGAAAATGCTGAAGGAAAACCAAATCTTAAAAAATTCACATGAAGCGTGAGACTCTGAGCAAAGTCTGTCCAGTAGTACAATAGAAAAAAGCAAAATGAAAAATG